CAACTGGTAGATGGCACAGCCGTCGCGATTGCGCGAGCCCCTACCAGAAATTCGTTGCGCCGCCCTTGGGGGCAAAAAACGGTGAAAGCTAACGTACGAAATCAGAGGGCAGCACACGGTGCGATCGCGCGACCCTGCCCGTGAGCAATCTCCCAACTGATCTCTGTCAGCTGTTATAGAAAAGACTGTCGGTAAATTCGCATGTGATATTGACCGCCTGGGTGACAGGTGTCAGCTGTCTCCAGAATGCTTTAATTAATGCCGAGTTGTTTACTTTTCCATTCGCTCGCACGACCTGCCGCGACGCATAACAGTGGAACATGTGTAAATAGTGATTGAATACACGAGCTGTATGACAGGAGGAAGATAAAATGAATGGCTCATCATGGTACTGACAGCTTTCCAGGAATCCTTGGCTGCAACCGCCTCATTCTGTACCATTTTACAATTTTTAGCTGGCATGTAAGGTCTACCTCTCCCTCTGTCAGGATAAGACCTCTAATCGCATCCTCCTTATCGCTGTATTTTTTAAATGATGTATTCATAAGTTCTCTTTCATTTCATTGCATTTCAGAGAAACATTACATCTCATCTCACTGTTTAACAAATTTCTTCACATAAGGCACCTTGTTCTTTATTGGAATAAAACCTTGTATCACTTTCTCTTTATCACCCTGGCTCTTTAACGATTCTTTTATGAATCTTCGTTCACTTCATTACTTATTAAAGAAACGTTAGGTTTAATCTCACCATTTAATAAATTTCTTTTCTTGTTTCAGATTGGTATGTCGAAAATTTATTGCCAATAAGTCAACAGGAGATGCCTCTGGTCTTGCGTTTGTCAGCTGTTTCATGTCGTAAGACAACTACCATATGATTACTTTATATTTCTTGTGTATGGCTATTGGAATACTTAGTTAAATTAATTCCTTATCTTTACCTCTGTTCATAGATGTAGCCTTTGGTTACGCTATGGAGTGCTGATAGGAGATCCTTTCGTCGTACTGGTGAACATCTTTGGGACCTCTCTCCAATTATGCTATGTCGTCGTGTTTATTTTGTACAGTGTCAAAAAGTCTGTTATACTGAAGCAAATAAGCTGGGCATTCTGTTTCGTAGCCCCGATGTATCTGTACAGCATGGTCGAAGAAGACAAGGCATTGGCGACGCAAAGAATTGGCTTTCTTAGCTGTAGCCTAACCATTCTGTTTTTTGCCTCACCTTTGACAATGCTAGTAAGATTTTTTGGTTATTTTCGTTGCATGAATTGGATGTTTGGTAGTTTTTTAAGTCATGTTTAATCTACTCTTTTAATTCTTTCAGACACATGTGATTAAGGTGAAAAATACTGAAAGTCTGCCCTTCCCTGTGATAATGGCCTCATTTATTGTATCCTGCCAGTGGTACGTGTACGGCTGCCTTATAAACGACATGTTTATACAAATCCCAAATTTCCTTGGCTGCATCTTGTCAGCGTTCCAGCTCTCTCTGTTCCTAATCTATCCCAACAAAAGATCCAGCCAAGAGAATATCCTTTAATTCCCATCAAGTCTGTGGAAAATTGCCATTTATCTTTCCATGAACAATCATGTAACCGAGGTACTTGATACGTACAGTATTAACACGTTGACTGCTCGTGAGTTAATTCGTGTCGGAAGAACTAGCGTTGTAAAATTGTCGGTCAACAATGTGTTAACTTATATACGTATACATCTATTTATGTAAATACCTCACTTTTTGTGCAAAGTGAAATTTTACCACATAACAAGGACAAACTTATTATTTCTGTACGTAAGTTAAATAAACCTTTGTGTAAAAACTATTAAGAATCTTTACAAATGCCATTATTTAAATAATTCTCTACCCTGTACCATTTTTAACTTATAAAGTTCTCTCATACCGATGGAACAAATCGTAATTTTGACATTGATGCAAACAGATCATACTGATCGACAGTTTGCATCTAAACGATCGTTTATTAGAAACAAAAAAGAAATTGCCATGTTGGTTGACAATTCAACATGCAAATAGAAGAAACTAACGAGATTGTTAATACAATTCTGTAATAAAAACATGCTAGAGCATTGTCTTAATATGATTTTATCAAATACTGACCAGAATTTCTAACCATGAAATTGTCTACTAATTAGTCAAAAACCAAATGTTTGCACCAATGTTTATGCCATGTAGAAAATGAAACCAATCAGGATTTGTTAATAAAATTCTATCGTCAATGAAAACAGACCAGAGGTTGGCCTTGACATTGTTGCGTCAGAGCTGGATACTAACCTATAAAAAAACATATACTGGGAGGTCGGTACTCGGACCGTGCTCGACTTTTTGAGGTTGTGGTCGGATCCAGTCGGATCCCAAAGAGTGTCCCTCGGTGACACGGTGTTTCTTGTAAATATTTTAAGGATAATCAGGATGTTTGACGTGTAAGAAAGTGACATTAGGCCGGACTCGAATGTCCGGCTTCGAAAGGTGCGAGCCACGAGGACTGTTAACGTGTACCTGGATGAATTTCGACGTTTTCATACACCGAGGAATTCTTGGGCACGCTCTTCTATATATCGCCGTAACAATAGTCGCCAAATTTACTGCGCATTTTGCAAAATGTTGGAAGGACTCGTCGCCTGGGTACTTAACAATTACCTCGGGAAATACGTGGAGAATCTGAACACGGATCAGTTGAGCATTGCGCTGCTGTCAGGTGGGGTTATGTTGCATCTTAAACTTCCTCGAGTGGAATTTTTATTTTGCGTAAGTTCTTTTTGTTTTAGGTTTTTTGGAAGTCGTAACACGCTGTCGATTGATTAAATCGAGGCACTCTCTGACCCTATCGTTAGATTTGAGTGACTGTCATTGGTTCTGTCGTTCAGGAATTGTGTTTACAGTTCTTAGGAAAAATGTACTTTATTGATTCTTATGCGTTTAATTGGAGCTATCGTGGAATGGGTAGAGCTAGATTATACTAAGAATATGTACAGAGTACATGGACTATGTTCGGTTTCAAAATTATGACTTGTTTTAATAAAATACATATTGTATGGTCATCCAACACTGTTACGTTCATTCACGGGAGAAGTTTAATTGTCATAGGTCCCTTTATTCAGGAATTGCATTGACGGGAGTTTTGAGTTGAATTTGCCTCTTCTGCTTAAGCTAAATTACATAAATTTGCAGGAGAAGTTGAACTCGAAAATCTACCACTGAAGCGTGATGCATTGAGGCACATTGGCTTGCCCGTTGAAATCAAGGCTGGATTTATTGGTAAGGTCCGACTGCAGATACCGGTTCGTCAGATTAGAACAGCATCTTGGGTTATCGTAATCGAGCAACTTTATTTAGTGGCAGGACCTATATGTCTTGACGAGGTGCGTGATAAGTACATTCTTTAATAAAATGTTATCTTATTTCATTCAGTGATTAAATTAAGAATTAATATTCTAGTATGATCACGAAGCCGAAGAACAAGCGGTACAGGAAAACAAACTTAGTCGCTTGGATGCACTTGAAGCTAGGTGGCGAGCTGAAGCAGAAAGAGACCCGGGTTATTATGCCACAAGCTACAGTTCCTGGTTAAACTATGGTACCTCCTTAGTGACTAATATTATCGAAAACCTGCAGCTCAATATCAAAGATGTTCACTTCAGATATGAAGATAATGTGACTCAGTCCTCCAAAAATGGTACTTATTATCTGTAGTTACTACAATCTTACGTCATACATATCACAAGTCCACTTAATCCTTTATTAAAAGAGAGATGCATTAACGTTTACTTCATGCATAACACTTTTTTCATCCAAAAATTCCAACTTCACACATAACACCCATTCGCTATCAGTTATTGAATAGTTTCTGTTTTAAGGAAAAAAACCACGTACAGTTCCAATCGTTTTCATGTAATCTAACATTTAGTTTGATATTTCTTAATACACATCCAACCGTAATTTTTTGTCGTTGACATCGTCTAATGGTCACCATTAATTCTACTATCTTTTGTTAATATTCATGGATTATTTCAACTCATTTCTACTTTAAGGAACTAGAGTCATTTACTGCAATATAGAAATGACTAATATTAGACATTTGGTCATTGATGACTGGCATGCAATGACTAATTTTAGTCATGCAGTCGGATGTGTTCATTTAATGGCATACAAAATTCAATTTTAAATAGAAAATAAATACAAAGATGTAATTAGTATTAACCATTGTGAGACTTGCATAATGTTTAAACAAGAACTATTTATAAAAATAAAACTGTAAATGTGTATAAATGGCATTAAATGTAATGGAGAATGAACTGTCATTAATGGTCATAGATTTCTTGCAATGTCTATCAAAAAAGGTTAAAGAAATCTCAAAAAAATAAACATTAAATTAAATCGGATTCATATCATTTTTATTAACAGAACACGTGCTAGTGATTGGTCTCGCAGATTTAAATGGGCACAAATTTTAGGTGAAGGCGTTGCGTTAGGTGTAACGATAGGAGCATTATCGGCTCAAAGCTGCGATGCTAGCTGGATACCTGGATCCACTTCGTGGAACCTCAACGATGCCTCGTTCAAGCTCATGGAGCTGGACAGGCTCTCTGTTTACTGGAATCACTTGAAGCCCGAGCAATTTTTTGGCATCCTCAGCCTTGGAGATCTAGCTGTAATTCCCAATTAATTAGCACAGATTTTTTAAACCAAAAGTATGAACTTTATGCGATAATCTATTTTTTAGATTGCCATGAGCGAATCCAAAACCCGAAAATGGAAGTATATATTGCCTTCAGTGAATGCCCGAGCTCATATCAAAAGGGATCGCTCGGAAAAACCTTTGCGATCCATAAACAAACCAAGGATCGTGTTAGATTTGCTGCTGGACCAGGTGCCGTTGTCCATCACCGATGTAAGTACTACGATAAACTGTTGTTAATGACATTAGAGAATGTTAAGCAAATGTCTTCTCCTTATCTCCAGGTGCAATACAAAGAAATAGTTAAATGTATACAGGAGTTAGAGGATATAGACCGCCAGAGGAGGCAAAGGCGATGTCGACCTATGCTATCCGTATCGGAGGACCCAAAAGCATGGTGGAGGTATGCCATTCGGCTACATTTAGGGAAGGATGCCCTGAAACCTAAAGTAACGTGGGAAGACATGCTTCGTCGCGGTAAAGAGAATGTAGCGTACGTGGAGATATGCACTAAGATGTTAGGTAAGCATCGTTAATTAAAACAGTGATACTAAGTTGTGATAACATTTCTTATCAAATTGCTGATATAATCCAGTGGTCTTGCATGAAAGTAAAGACACTGCAAAGTTCACTAGACTTCCTATAGCCTATTCCACCAAATTTTTGTACGATCTTTTCGAATTCACGAGGAAATAGCCCTCTTTGAGATGTTAGGCTAAGTAGCTTCAAAATATAAAATTGCCTTTTAGGAACCCCGACAACGATCTTACCGACGGAAACAAAGCAATTAAAAGACACGATAGAGCTGGAGAGAAGCTTCGACGAGTTAAAGGTACTGCGAGAGATTGCTCTAGCCAGGGTGAAACCTCCGAAGCAGCCACAGTCTCCGACGACAAGTGTTCCGCAGGCGAGGGGTATGTTGGTCCAGTGGTTTCCCCAGTGGTGGGGTTGGTATTCAAAAACCCCACAGAACAGCACCCAGACACCATCCTCGACCTTTGACGGAGAACTCTTAGACGTTCTGGCTGACACAATGGACGACGACACTCTTCTTCGTAGAGATGCTATATTTGGTCAGTTCAACTTCACCCTCTCCAATGGAGTGATTTCTTTGTGCACTCCGGTTGAGAATCCGGAAGGCTCGCAGAAGACCGTGATGGAGCTACGGTTTGAAAGGGTACAATTGACCTACGAGTCGAGGCCCAGGTCAGGCTCCCACAAGTTCTCGGTGAGCCTGGGTGCCCTCTACCTACACGACTACTACACGGAGAAGTCCACCTTTCCCATTCTGGTGCAACCCCAGGTGGTAACAGGGCCTCTTCAAGGTAGACTACGAGGCTCTTCGGAGAAGCTGGTCAGCCAGGCTACGCAGCAAGCCCTGTTTGAGCTGGTCTACGAGAAGAGACCCCTCCACCTGGCTGCGGAGCACTCCCTACAGGTGCACTCCAGGTCGTTGGACGTGGTGTACAATCCCCTAGCTATGAAGTGGCTGATGGACTTCCTCTGCGGGCCCCACAGGGACTCTTCAGACCGCAGGCTCCAAGCAATGAAGAGGCGAACCAGGAGAAGGCTTATCAGGAACTGGGAACAGATTCTGGAGGGCGACTTCGTCTACAGATCGTCCTGGGATTTGAGACTCAAGATATCCGCCCCGCAGATCCTCCTCGTCGAGAGATTCACCGACGTGGACGCGGCGGTCGTCGTGGTCGACTTCGGTAGGCTCCGGCTTACTAATAACCCGGAGACTGAGACGATCACCTCGCAGCCGGGCTCTCCGGCTGAGATCCCGCGTCCCCAGGAAGCAGAGAACGAGGAGGAGGAAGAGGACGAGGATGACGAGAGGTACGAGACGCCCTGCTCGACGCCGCCCGGGAGCAAGGAGAACGGCTCTCTGCAAGAGGACCATCCTCAGGGCATCTCCGAGGCAGCTCTCCATCAGCGACTCTACGACCGCTACTCGGTCGACCTGGCCGACTTGCAGGTCAGGGTGCATTCAAACTGTAAAAAGCACAACGCCATTTTGGTTTTGATCTAGGCTAAGACAAAGAAATATTGATTTTCAACAAGAATTTAGACAAATCCAAACAATTTTTTTAATCATAATTTAAAAATTGTCAGGACATTCCGTAGGTGCTCATATGCTACAATTTTAGGCAGTTCGGTGGAATACCTTTGAAAAAAAAAGTGTCTTATGCAAATCGACTTGTGGTGGTACCGATCAGGACCAGGGACACATTTTTTTTTTATGAAATTTTATGAACATCACGTTCTTCCTTGGGCCTCCATAATTACACGCCGAAGTTTTAAATTATTCGGTACACCCAGTTTGGAGAAAAGTTTTATAAATATTTTCACGTTTTGAAATGTTTAGAATAACCCTTTGAAAAGACCTTAAGGCGGGTTTTAGTTCACCTTAACCACCCTGTTGCAGGTCCTCGTCGGCAGAGTCAGAGACAGCTGGAAACACGCGCGCACCCGCGGCATGTCGAACCTCCACGTCCTGGAGCGATTCAACATCTCCTTGGAGGTGGAGAGGAGGGTCGTCGCCACGACGGACCCGCAGTACCCCTCGGCGACGATCTCGGGGAACCTGCCCAGGCTGGTGGTCCACGTGAACGAGCAAAAGGTCGAGGCCATTCGCTCGATGTGGGGCCTCCTCGTGGGAGTCCACGCGACCGAGGTCCCCAGGGGCGTCCCGGTTGAGCCGGAGAGCCCCAGGAAGGAGGAGGCCCCGGAGCGGAACCTGGCACACGTGGTGATGGTCCAGTTTATCGTCGACCGGATGACATTCGAACTCCAGTCCAGGGGAAGGAGCGTTGCCGAGCTCCAGGTCTCCGGGGTTAAGGCCGCGCTGAGCAAGCGGCCCGCCGACCTGGGCGCTTCCCTCTCGGTGCACGGGCTGCTGCTCGTCGACGCTCTCCAGGTAGAGAGGACTTGATACCACTGGAGTATCGATATCTTTTATGAGACTTTTCTGCAAACTTAGTGCACCGAATTGTTTAAGATTTCACCACATGAATGTGGAGGCTCGGAGAACATTCCTGACACCCATGAAATTTCATTTTTTGCAAGAAATATAAAACCCGTTTATATAACTAAAATTACAAAAAAAAAACAATGAAACTTCACGGGCACCATCCTTAGGGTCTCCATATCCACGTGGTGAAATTTCAAAGGATTCGGTAGATCCACTTCGGACAAACGTTGAAAACAAATGATTGATCCCTCGGAGCCACTTTCATATCACTTTAAATAATGGAGAATGCTGTAATGAACAAGTTTCATTATTAATCAAAGTATATTTTTATTGTAAATGATTTTTACGTTCCACTAGGTTACAAAACAGATGAATAAAAAAAAGTACCTCTTATGTCCTCTTCATCCGTTTCGATATCTCTTTTCATTTATATCAGCTAAATGTCGACGCCAAGAGTGCTCGATATCGGAAAGAAGGTACTCATATTAATTCACATCGGTTTATCCCTGCCTCCAGGAGTTCGGGCCCGACTTCGAGCTCCTCGTCGCGAGCCACCGACACGTGGGGATGGACAGCGTATCCGGGAGCTTGTGGGACTCGGAGCCGACCTCGCCGACCTCTCCGGAGTCCCCGGGCTCGCCCGACCTCTCGCAGTCCAAGAGACCGACCTCTCCGGTCGCCCTGAGCCGTGCCCTGACCTCCTTGGTTCGTCGTGACCCCAGGAACCCGCTAACCGGGGCCGGCCTCGACCGGACCGACTCCGAGGCGCTCATCGTCGTCGAGCTGGTCGCCGTCGACGAGCCCCTGGAGCGACTCAGGGTGGCCAGTATCCAGTTCAACAACCTGGACATCATAGCCAACCAGGAGACCATCGTCGAGATCGTTGGCTTCCTCCGCAGGGTCTTCCCGTCCAGGAAGTCGCGCGTCAAGAGGGTCGTCGACCGCCAGGAGTCGGTCACCAGCTTGAACTCCGAGTTCCCGGGTCCTTCCACCAGGATCGAGGTGTCCTTTGACTTCCACAGGCTGAACGTCCTGCTCCTCAGGGCGGTGGTCCAGGAGAGCGGCCTCGTCGGTCAGAAAATAGCCACGGCGACGATGTGTGACGCCAGGATACAAGCCACCCTGGCTGCTGGAGTCTCGGTTTCCGGGTCTCTAGGGGGTCTTCAGGTCAGGATTCAATATCATGATCCTTTTAAAGAGAAAAACCATTGATTTTTTTTAAATCACGATTTTTTGTTTCTGTTTATTCATTATACACGATGTTTACGTTTCGTCTGTTTTTAAAGTTAATTTTCATTCAGTTCGTTTTTGTGTCATGTTTAATTATATAATTTTGAAATTAATAAATAATGGTATAATTGCGATCACACCGGGTGGTACCCAGAATGATAAGCAATCGTGATTTGTAAAAGTAAACGTTTGTGGACTTTTTTTTACCCCGGTGAAGGGATTAAGTAATTTAAATGATTTCAACCCTGCTTCAGGTACTGGACCAGACCCCCACGGGGAGGACACACCAGAGGATCCTGAGTGTGGGTCGAGACCCGCTCGCGGACCCTAGGAACCAGCCTATGGACCACTTCCCGGAGCTCTCGGAGCAGCCCGAAGCCTTCAGGTTCTCGGCGAGCCGCGGGTCCAGGGTGGAGAGGCACGGCAACGCGGAGACCACCCCCGCCGAGGTCGTCGTCAGGGTCGGGAGCGTTTGGTACACCCACGCGCCCCACCTCATCTCCGAGCTCCGGTCCTGTGCCGACGAGTTCAAGCAGTACCTGAAGAACCTGGCGCGCCAGATCGGGGCCGCGGCGACCGACATGGCGATAGGCCTGGTGCAAGCCGAAGACTGGTCGGCTCCACCTCGAAGAAGGCTTCCGAGTCTATCCCTAGACGGAGGGGAGGCACCAGCGTTGGCTCTGAAGCTAGACGTTGTCCTGGACAGCCCCGTCCTGGTGGTCCCAAGATCGGCGCACAGTTCCCAGGTCTTCGTGGCCCACCTAGGGACCATGTCTCTGAGGCACGAGCCCCCGAAAGAGACCCCCGCCAAGCACGAGGTCACCCTGGAAGTCCGCGACATGAACCTCTACTCCTTGGAAATCGCCCGGAAGTCCGACAGGAGCTCGAAGGGGTTTCCACTACGTGCCGAAGAGGTCTACTCCTGCAAAGAGTCGGGCAAGCCCATCCTCCACGATACCCTCCTCAAGGTCGTCGTCCAGAGAGAGACGATCACGCCGGAGCTGCAGAGCCCCGGGTTCCTCCTAGAGGCAGAGCATCAGAGTGCCAGCCCGGTTTTTCAACTCCACGGGATGGCGATAACGCCCTTGAAGGTGTCCCTGACGAGAGGCCAGTACGAACAGGCCCTGGCCACGATTCACGGACTCTTCTCCAGTTCGGCTAGCGGAGCCGCCGCTAAAGAGCACCAGGTGCAGGATCAGCCGGCCGACCTGCGCAGGTTCGACCTCTCCGTCAAAGTTCTCTTCGAGCTGCCTTTCCTCGGGGTCGAGCTGAAGAGGGACCACCTGGAGCAACCGCTAGTGGAGCTGTCGATGCGCGACTTCGCGGCCAGGTACGAGAAGCTCCAGAGACTGGAGTGGACCCTGCAGGTGTCCCTGAGGTCGCTGCTGATGGAGGACCTACTCTGCCCGGTGGGGTCCAGACACCGGTGCATGATGCAGTCCTCGGCTCCGTCCAGGGCGCGCCTGCCGGCAGGGGTATCCAGGTCCTGCCCCGACCTGGCGTTCGCCAGGAGGTGGAGGAGCGAGATGGCCAGAGGGAGCCTCCCGGATAGGCTGGAGACCGACACCCTCTACGGCGCGGTCCCCGACCATTGGAGGAGGAAACCAGTGTCCTCGGCGGACACCCCGAACACCCCTCCACCCTCTCCTGGGGCGATCACCAGCGAGGAGAACCTGGTGCTCATCGATATCTGCACGACCTTGCCAGACCCCGGTTCCACCTCCGAGCAGGTCCTCAGAAAGAACATTTGCGTGGACTTCAACTGTCTTGACCTGGTCGTCAGCGTGGAGTCTTGGATGGTGGTCTTCGACTTCCTGGGGATCGGCGAGCCTGGAGACCTCGTCCCACCTAGCCCCTCAGCTTCCAAGATACCCGAAGGCGAGGCGCACGAGGTGGATGGATCCTCACAGAGGACATCGAAGACCATCCTGAAGTCCGAGGTGGAGCTCGAGGTGCGCTCCCTGACTCTGGTGCTCACCAGGGGCGAGCGCGAAGTCGCCCGGGCGAACGTCTCCGATGCAACCATGAGGATCCTGACAGATGCCCTGAAGAGCCAGGTCGCAGGTTCGCTGGGCTCGATGTCGCTGCTGGATCTGTCTCCTCATGGCAGATGTTACCGCGAAAGGTTCCTCAGCTCTGGCAGGAAGGCGTTGACCTTTCAGTACTCCAGCTACGCGACCCATGGAGACTCCAGGAACCTGGACCGAGAATACGACGCCAGACTCCGCATCAGAATGGCCGCAGTGCACTACGTGCACACGCAGAGGTTCGTCTCAGAGCTGCAGGCCTTCTTCGTGCACTTCGCGCAGCTGCAGACGGCGATGACGAACCTGCGCGCAGGGGGTGAGGCCGACGAGAGCGGCAGGAGGAGCAGGAGGCTCTCCCTGGAGCTGCACGCAGGAGCACCCATCATCCTGATCCCGGTTAGCTCCAGGTCGGAGGAGTTGGTGCTCCTGGATCTGGGGGAGCTCACCGCGAACAACGTCTTCGAGTTCTCCAGCGTGGTCCAGGACTGCCTCCTAGACGTGACCGACGTCGAGCTGGTGAACATGGACGTCTACACCGGGAGGAGGCTGAAGGCTGATCAAGATGGAGACCAGGACGAGGACACCCTAACCGTTTGCGGGTTCCGCGTGAAGAAGCTTGGCCCTTCCCTGTTGACGGAGAAGTGCCACCTAAAACTCCGGGTCGAGAGGAACCTGGACGTGCACCTGAGCAGGGCGATCCCGGACATCAGCGTCAGAGGGACCCTCTCCACCATGGACTGCGCCCTGGACCCTGCGCAGTACACCCTGATTCGAGGTCTCCTCGCCTACAACATCGGGGAGAGCCTTGAAGACCTCCGCTCCTGGTTCACCCAGGAGCCTAGCGACCCCTCGGAGTACCCTAGAACGATCGAAGGTGCCTCTACCAAGGTCTGGACCAAGTCCTGCGTCACCTTGGAGCTGGTCAACGTCACCCTGAAGCTTCACCCCAACCACCAGATCGCCGCTCTGGCCTGCGTCAATTTCATCAAGTCCAGACTGACCTTGGACTCTCTGAGCGATGGCTCCCAGGACGTGGACCTGGTCTCCAGGGAGATCCTGGTCACCGACACCAGGTTCCAAGACGAGCCGGCCAACAGGCGGTCCAACGTTTTCACGAGAATACTTCAGCCCCTGAAGGACGACGGCAGTGCAGAAGACCGGGTCCAGGCCGAGGTGCACCACAGGAGACGTCCTATGAACTCGGCCACGACGGTCCTCTTGCACAGCATGCGACTCACGGCGATCCTGGACTGGTGGGAAGCCGTCAAGGACTTCCTTATCCTGAACTCCCCGGAACCTGAAGCGGTCCCTGGACTCGTACATCCTGGAGTTCTCCAGCCCACGAGGAGCGAGACCAGCGTGAATTCTAACAACAGTCTACCTTTCGAGCTGAAGCTCAACATCACCGACTCCGAGCTCGTCGTAGTCGAGGACACTTCCCTGAAGGACACCAACGCGGTGATCCTGCGCTCCACCACGATCCTCTCTTTCAGGTCGGCTCCGCAGGAGGGGGAGAAGCCGCTTTCCTGCAACCTGTCCCACTGCGAGCTCTTCTCTTGCATCCTGGGCCTGGAGAACGAGACAGCACTGTCCATCATCGACCCTGTTGGAGCTAGCTTGGAGCTGACCAGAGAAAAGCTCCTGGAGGTCCAACTTCAGCCTCTCAGCGTGCGCCTTAGCTACCACGACGTGGCCATGTTCTCCAGGATGCTGAGCTCCCTGCCGAAGCAGACCCTCTGGGCGAAGCAGAGGTCTACCTTGGGACCCCCCGCGAACCAGAAGAGCCACATCGTAAAGCTCTCCGCTTTAGGGTTCGCAGAGACCGATTGCGAAGCTGCTCTTCACAGATGCAATGGACAGCTGGACGATGCGGCCTTGTGGCTCACCCAGAATGCGTTTCCAAGTGCAGATGCAACCGGGGAGAGGGTCCTTGTTAGGGCGGTGGAGCTGGAGACGACCTGCCTCAAGGTCTGCGTGATAGACGACTGCAGGGACGCCGACGTCCCTCTGCTCGAGATCACTCTGACCGACCTGACCCTGAAGCAGGAGTGCGAGGGACCCGGCCAGGTCTCGGCCACCTTCGCCGTGGACTACTACAACAGGGTGCTGAGTGGGTGGGAACCTTTCGTCGAACCTTGGAGAGCCACCCTTGATTGGAAGCAAACCCTCACCAGCTCCCTCACCCCGAAGAGGCTCCAGGTCAAGGTTGACTCCGACGACTCCGTCAATGTCAACGTCACCTCGACCTTCGTCGAACTCGTTACCCTCGTCAAGCATAACTGGACGCAGGATTATTACCTGTCCAGCAAGGACTCTACCTTGGGGAGGTCCCTGAAGAACGTGCTGAGCTATCGCAGGAGGTCGCCCTTCGTCCCCTTCGCCTTGAAGAACGAGACCGGGTCCAAGATCTGGTTCAAGACTCTCATCGCCACTGCAGATGATGTCAAGGAGATCGGGCAGGATGTCAAGGTCAGGAGCTTGCCGAAGAGAGACAAGACCTGGGACGAGGTGCCTCCTGGGGGCACTTTTCCGTTCACCTTTGAAGAAAGGGGCAAGCTTCGCCATTATTCCACTCATATCGTCCGCAGACATCAGGTTCTTGTCATGGTTGATGGCTGGAACCCCGTGGACCCGGTCACCGTTGATAGGGTCGGGGTCTACTTCAGATACGCCAACCCTGAAATCAGGGGGACTCAGGTGAGCTACTCTCCCTCGTTCAGTCTTTAGAAAAACACGAAGTTAATCTTCAAAATCTTAAAATTCAACCAATGCCTGACCGATTGAATCCTTTCAGCTCCACATGGCCATCCCAAAGGCGAGGGTGGTCTTCGAGGTCGAGCTGGAGGGCTCCGCCAGGAAGCTCGTCACCGTTCGCTCCGCTCTTCGGGTCGTCAACAAATTGGCTTATCCTGTCGACGTCAAGCTGGAGAAGTCCCTCGACCAATTCGGAGGTCGGTCTTCAGGGTTGACTTGTATCGCAATGGTTTCTCGTTTAAGGGAGGAAATACGCGAGTCGCCCTGAAAATAAGACTATTTCTCGACATTTCTTTTTCCAAAGGAACTTTGCACAGAATTCTGTTTTAAGAACATTCAGGACATTTAGGGCATATCTGAATAAGTATAACTTTATTTTTATGTTAAAGAAGAATGATTATCTAATAATTAATAGATGTACCCGCAAACATGTTCGCCAAGGGGAAGACTCTTCAGGTTAAAGCGCAGTCCGTCGTGTCGATACCTGTAACCCACACTGGTGTTGAAATGTACCTGAGACCTGTTCATCCCAGTGAATCCTATCAGTATTGTATGGAGGCCATTGATTGGACCATGGTGAAGAAGCCTTCGGAGGTCCTGGAGATCCAGGCGACCTGCAGAACCAACCGGGACCGTTTATTCAGGTGATAATTGGTTTATATCTTGAAGACCCCTAATTAATTGCAGTAGCTTAAGTGAAATGAATTATTCCTATTCGCATAAATAAAATGAACGATATAACAATGAAAAGGAATCCTCCTTCAGGATGTGCGTCGCCGTGCGGAGGGACAACTTTCCTCCGGATGTCGGCCAGATGATTCCAGGACACACGATATCCTTGCTGGCACCGATCACCGTGAACAATCTTTTACCTCATGAACTGTTGTACAACACAGGGGCAGAAAATGGCAGGATACTTCCAGGGGAAAGCGCTGATCTGCTCACCCCGAAACTTGAAGAGCACCTGGAAATCATCGTCCAACTGGACGGCTATTCCGGAGCTGGGACGGTACGAAATAATGAAAAAGAAACGTTATGAAATTTATACCGATACGCTCAGCTGTTTGCAAGATAATGCAAGGAATAGCGAAGGATCTTACGCTTCAGCTTCTCAATTTGATATTCATGCTTAAGAAAAATATTAAATATTTTATGGCGGGATTAAGTTAAAGTTTACCAAAACTTTTCTGAATGTATTTGATTACGTCATTAATATTAATCTTTGTACAGATATTACTAGCGCAGTGCATCAATTCTTTCACCGGCAGAGTCCGATTGACGGACTCTTCAGGAAGGATATTGTTCCTGCAAGCCGCAGTGGTAGTTGAAAAGGGTTCGGCGGTGAAAATCAACATCACCGCTCCATACTGGATCATCAACAAGACGGGACTGCCCCTGGTCTTCAGGCAGGAAGGCGTAGGAACGGAAGCTGCAGGTCAATTTGAAGAGCACGAAAAGGCCAGGATGGTCGCTCCTTTGTTGTTCTCCTTCAGCGACGAAGAGGCCAGCAGAACTCTCGCCGTCAGGGTCGGAACTGGAGTTCATCCCAATGGAATACCTCAGTGGAGTCAACATTTCCACCTGCAAATCGGGGTTCAAGTACGTTGAACCTTGAAGAGCTTTCCTAAATGAACACTACTTTGAAGGAAGAAAATTTAAAGAGATCCTGGAATTTCATTTCCCATTTCGCTTATCTAAGTTCTACGCGTCCCCTTTCTGGGAGTCTAAAAACTGAAGATCTTTTTATAATTGTTCATTTTAATTTTCCTTAAAAACCCACTGGAAATATAATCCAATATCAATTTTAGGTTCATCGATTGCGAGTCTCTTTACGGGATGGCAGGCCGGATATCGTTTATTTAATCGGCGTAGTCACCAGGGCAGCAAGAGGAAGGTACCGAGCAACAACGGTGGTTACTTTATCGCCGAGATATCAATCACATAATCGCTCCTCCTATACCCTGGAGCTGGCACAAAAATGCTTCACCACCACGGTTGTAAGTTCCTGAAATTCTTCTCATTTTTCATGAATTAATTTCCCTCTTGCAGCATTCTTTTACCTCGTTTTACGTAATTCCAGAGTCACCCTGACGCACAGGCGACATACATCACAGCAATGCCCGATTGTCATATGCCCTTTCATTGGCCAAGACTGGACAAGGACCAACTGCTCTGTGTTCGCATCATCGATGTCGAAAATTGCGCCTGGTCGGGTGGCATCACCTTGGACGGGAATTACTCTATGACGATTAATGTCAGGGACATTGCAGGGAAAATGAATTTCTTAAGGGTGGACGTAGTCCTGAAGGAGAGCACTTACTTCATCGTCTTCTCCGATGCTGACACTATGCCTCCTCCGATCAGGGTTGATAATTTCTCCGAAGTGCCTCTGGTTGTCAATCAAGTACGTGACATGATGCTCCTTGGGATTTATCTGAGAGAAAAGGAATGACAATATTAAAAACTGGATAATTTTTGTTTCTAGTTATTTAGTAAGCATACTTTATAATTGTATTAGAAGTTCTCTACGATGGTTGACAAGTGGTACTCGAAGGGGTTTACTGCGAAGCTCAGTATTTGCATATTCACAAGAAATGTATATTATTTTGATTGATTTAAACAATTTTTTTATATGTAGTTATGCTGTTTATTTTCTGTATATTTCTAGATATATTATTAATGCAGAGGTTTTTATATTTGCAGAACAATGTCCTGGACAGTTTGCAATGGACCGTAAGACCTCACTCTTCCGTTCCTTATGCACTCGATGAACCGATACAACCTGCAGCTTTGGTTTTAACTGCTCCGGGAGGTGTTACAGCAACTTATGACTTAAATATCCTTGGCGAAAGTAGAGGCTTGACTTATGAGAACTTCATTTACATTGCATTTACTGGTACTTGTTTTAAACATCTCTCATCAGGAAAATAATCATACTTTAATGTTAATTAATTTATAGAGGTAATGGAATTGTTAATTAATAGGAACGTTCAAGACGGATGGCGATCTGGGTACCAGTGAATGTAGTCTGGATCCTTTGGACGTAGAAACTCAAAGACTCGTCTTGGAAGCTGGTCCCGGAGGATGGGTAGCTCTTCGCAGGAAACAGTATGGAGCTCGTTCCCAGCTCTGGAGGATGACTGGAAATGGACAGCTTCAGCACGAAGGTACAATCAACCTATTTCAATAAATCCAATTTTTTAAACATTGGATTAGCTAGAAAGTCTCGCAATGCGAACAACATATCTTTAACATTTATTTTTATTTATTGAATTACAACTTCGGTCCACGATATATTCTCTACTTCTGTCTATAATCTGTGCCCATCTATCGGGCAGCTCCTTGATGTCTCTCTACAAGTTTTTGTGAAATTTTAGAATCGAAAATATAAAGTATTGGGACTTTTAAGCTGTTCACAAATCCAGGAATTTATAGATACTCTTCGATGAGCAACGTGTAATTTAGTTCAAAACACTCAGAGGGTTAGCAATAATTTATATACAAATAAAGTATAAGAAATAAGTAATCTGTATCATCGAACAGGTTCCAGTCCACCTCGAGACAAGCACAGCAAAGCTACGGACAAGGTCCTGGTCTTGGACATAGCTGGAACAGCTCCGCAGCCTTTTACATATTGTCCTCTTGCATTGCGAAGACCTGACCCTAGAAGACGATCTACTCAGACCTGGAGGTTCACCGATGATGGAAGACTCTGCTGTGCGCACCAGAATATGTGCGTTCAGTCCAAAGATGGATTTATGGGCTTACACGAAGGTTGGACATTTCGTTCGTTCTTGTACTAACCAACCCTATCTATTAAATAACAGAAGTTAACCTTAATAAGCCCACATCTCGTTAATTCGAGACTCCAAATGCGAAAGGAAATTAGCTTCTTTGCTTCAGTAGCGTTTCTTATGCGCTAAGTCCTCGTCTACCACTACTTTCGACCTGCGGAGCATATTGGCACTGTCACGGAATGTCATTTGCACGTGTTAGATCATGTTTTCTTTTACATCATAGTTGTCAGATTGTGTCTTCTTTGCGAAGCGTAGATGTAATGATAGTTTCGACCAAGAAATGCCTGTTTGATTCAAGTATATACGTACATCTGTCAGTGAATCTAACCTAAAAGTTCACCTCCAGAAATTCGCCACCGACTGTGCTTATGTTTAAATTTGTCCGTAAATGTTGCAGGCGGCTGTGTCGCCCGGTGGCAAATGTGTACGTATAGATCTCAGACGCGTCCACGAAGACGCCTGTCTCTCTTTTTCCTCTTCATTCTCTCTTTCGATAATGTAATTAGGGTAATGTTACATCTAAGCGCAACTCTTTTACTAATTTATGTTGCTTCGTTTCTCACCCCATGTGTACCTGTCCTCATGGTGTTCGCTAAGTGTGCTCTTTATTGCCTTTACGGAGCTTTTATTGTTAAGGGTATTAAGGAAATGCTATGAAACTTTGCATTATCTTTTTAAATCTCAAGGATCATGGTATTCCTGCGTTTTCATGGTACAGTGGATTTAATTGGTAAAGGAGAGATAATTTTCTTTTAGGGAGCGAAGCAGTTTTGGGACCCCAGACACATTGCGATCCACCTCCAATAGACCAAAGAGTCGGTAGACAAAGACTGCGACCTGGATCTGGCTTTTTAAATGTTAGGGTAACGACTGACGGCCCCACGAGAGTCCTGCAGGTTTTAGACATCAAGGAAAGGGTGAGATACCTGAAAATTAATTATCGATACAGTACAATTCAAATGCATCGTCACATAGTCTAATGAAGCAGCTCTTTCCAATTACGAACAAGTAAACGTTCTTAGAAATAGAAAAAACCCTCACTGTTACTAAGCCATGAAAGACACGTTTGAATATCCTAAATCAGCTTTCATATTAAATAGAATTCCGATTCCAATCTTCATACTCAGAGATGAGGAAATATGCTATCTCATAAATTCCATCGAACACCAAGGAATAAGGAATCATGTCCTAAGAAATGAATTTCCATAACTATCAAACCTGAACCAGGAATACATTGACTAGCATCTTAAATTAATTCCAGAAGAAGACCTTCGCCCTCCTGGAGGAGCGCGACTGGTCGCACATCGCAGTGACCCAGAGGCCGACCCAGGAGCCTCTAGACCCTGAAAGCAAGGACTCCAGAGAACTACAAGTGCAAGTGAGCCTGGCTGCAGGTCTGGGTCTCTCCGTGGTCTCCAGGAGGCCAGCCGAGGAGCTGGTATTCTCCAGATTCGCTGGCATCGCCCTGGAATTTGTTCGGACCCCGGGCAACGTCGTCGTCGACCTCAGCATCGCCGATGTCCAGGTGGACAACCAGCTCTTCGAAGCCCAGTGTACGTCGGTGCTCTACATAGCTCGTAACTCCCGCCCTGAGAACGATTCCAGGCCAGCGGTCCACGTCGCCCTGGAGAAGCTGCCCTCGAAGAACCAGAACGCCGAGATCTACAAACACCTCATCGTCAGCCTGAAGCCACTCTGCGTACACCTTGAAGAGAGACTCATCCTGAAACTGGCCGCCTTCGCCGGGGCAGGAAGGGCAGAACTCGACGTCCCCGTCGACGAGAACGACTTCAAGGCCCAGAGATTCGTCTCCGAGGTCTCCGCTGCTCATGCCAAGAGATACTACTTCGGGACCCTGAAGCTTGTCCCAAATCAGGTGCGCGGTACAGGACTGTGTTACGTGATTTTAAAGAAATAATTTAAATCATCTCAGTCCTGGCGTGGTATCAGAAAATTTTCGGAACCCATAGAGCATTCTTCAGATTCTTTAGAAATCCATTTACAAGTTATTTCATTGTTATTTCTTATGCTTTAGATCAAACTCAGCGTACTTACGTCGACGAAGCTCCCTCCGGAGCTCCAGGGGATCAAAAGAAAGCTGGGCCTCACTTTGATCAAGTTCGAAGATGCCACGATAGACCTGGAGCCTTTCACCAAAAAGCACCCCTTCGAGAGCAGCCAGTTTCTCCTGCACTCCATCGTCAAGCACTTCAAGGACGTGCGTTTCTTCAGGATCTACCTAGGCTTCCTAACGTTTAATTAATTTGTTTATGCTATTTTTATTCTTTGTACTATTTTTATTCCCTTTCCAGGAGCTGAAATGGCAGGCTGCGGTTATCCTGGGCTCGGTGGACTTCCTGGGGAACCCTCTTGGCTTCGTCAACGACGTCTCCGAAGGCGTCTCTGGGCTGATTTACGAGGGCAGCGTCAAGACCCTCGTGAAAAATGTGACCCATGGCCTCTCGAACTCTGCGGCGAAGATGACGGAATCACTGTCGGATGGACTCGGTCGCGTTATTATGGACGAGAGACACGAAGAAGCTCGACAAAAGATTCGCGCGAATACAGTCGCCAGTTCCGACCATTTGGTCGCTGGTCTTAAGGGTCTGGGCTTTGGACTTCTTGGCGGCGTCACGAGCATCTTCACCCAGACCTACGACGGCGCGGCCAACGAGGGCTTCCCTGTAAGATGAACTACTAATTAATTAAAACAAGCTTTCAGATAATTTAGATGGTTTCCGTATGTTGTTATTGCCGTTCTTTTGTCGCGCGGTTAACTTTAAATTAATTTAGAGTAAATTAGATATTAACTAATCCAGGTGGTTTCTGTATTTTGTACTTGTTTCTCTTGTCGCAGGGTTTCTTTACCGGGTTCAGTAAAGGAGTAGTCGGGACCATAACGAAGCCGGTCGTGGGATTTTTGGACCTCGCCAGCGAAACGGCAACTGCCCTTCGAGAGACCAGCAGAAGGTTTCATGCTCTCTTCTTAATTAACAATTTTTAAAAATTGCTTAAAGAAACAATATTAATTATATCTTTCACGAGGGTCAGGGGCACCTGTCTTCAACAATCTGGGCATTTTCTTGGTATCTGATCTTCTGACCACCTCTAAGAGACACGACCCTACAACTCAATAAAGAATCTCTTTCAATCCAATGATAATTTCATACAATTAAAAAGAAAATAGTATTAAAATTAAATTAACACTCGGTTCAATGTTCCTAAATTTCACGTTAATCCCGTTTATTTTTCTAAACAATTTCAGCGCACACCGGGCGATTCCAAAACGCGACAGGCCGCCGAGGGTGGCCAGTGGTCCGGCAGGTTTACTGCCTCCAAATAATCAGCAGCAAGCCGAAGGCCAGGAGTTCTTGTACAGCATAAATAACCGCGACTACTCGGAGCTCTTCGTGGCCTACGAGTTCCTGAGGAGCGGGACCGAGGACCTGCGGGTCCTCGTCTCGAACGAGAGGGTGCGAGTCATCTCGGGCGGTACCAGGGCCGTCGTCACCGAGGTCAGTTTGGCCGACCTCTTGCACTGCCAGCCTACTCACAAGGTGGAGAGCAATGGGACGACCTTACATTACATCGAGCTGACCTCGAGGACGACGGACTCCGGCCAGGTCGCCTACTTAGACGGCTCGGAACGCCTGAGGAAACCTCTGGTCAGGTGCGACAGCGAGGGCGTCGCTAAGTGGGTGAGTTTCTTAAGGTGATGTGGAACACACCAAAAAATTGACCTATGTCGGTAAAAGAGATTCTTCTAAACATTCACGGTACCGACATTGACTTATTTCTTTTCCTAGGTTTCCCAACAAATCAACTATGCCAAAGGGATGCACGAGGAACGCAGCATGACACTGACGTCCTCGGACAACATTTTGGATGATATCCATTGCTACAAATAATCTAGTTAGAAATCATTTCTCGTCGGCTGGAGCTTTATTTTTCCATTTATTCCGAAGTCTCGAGGAGTCGTTCTCTAAAGACGGAGGAATCGCGCAGAATTGCCAATTTCTTTTCTTTTTTTTTTTTTTTCTTTCTTTCAGTCGACTCGAAGCAAATAGAAGTCATCGAGATATCATCAAGCGAAATCGCGCATAATACTAACGGAGGAAAGACTGATGCACAAAATGAGTGCGACAAGTTGTACGTAATCTAAGCTCCGATTTCGAAGAAAACCGTCGAGGTTGCATTTAAGTTTCAAAAAGCGCACTTTTTTGCCCGCCACGTTGAGTCGGGTAAATTAATTTATTGATTATCGGGAATGATAAGGGTCGTTGATAATATCAGTTAAGGGGACAGATTGGTTGGAGGGGGGAATTTAAAAAGACTTCTTATTGGAATTTAGGAAGGCAGGAATTTTTATTTATTCCTCTCAATTAATTCCATTGTACGAATCTTACTCAAGAAACTGTGAAAGGGAAACCGTTTTCTTGAATTAAAGAGGTCCTTTAAAGAAATGTATAAGAATTAGAGGATTAATGGAATGCAATCATACTGTCAATGGTCAATTTATAAGACCCGGTAATGTTTCTTTCTAATTAGTTACACCTCAGAATTTCTCAAAAGTGAAAAGAGGTCCTTTGAAAAAAGGTTTACAATTAAAAGAGGTCCTTGAAGGGAAGGTTCCAAGGATTAGAGAATTATTTCAGTGTTATCGTACCATTAATGGTCAATTTGCAGGATCAAGAAAACTTCGATCAGGATAGCTAGTCGCGGGAAATAATTTTCTTAAATTGAAAAGAGAGGTTCTTTGATAACGGATTACACTTGAGAGAGGCTCTTTAAATAGTGATTATAATTGTAATTGGCTCTCGAAGATGAGCATGAGGGTTAGGGATTTATTTCAATGCAATCGTAGTATCAGTACGGGTACGGTTAGTTTACGGGATTTGGTGAAATACTTTCAAGACATCCAGCCATAAAAGAGAACGAATCACAGTCGAAGCTTGTAAATACGCGCGAAGGAGATATATCATATTTATTTTTAAATAACGATAACTTCAACGCTACACATCTCGGATTCCATCATATTTCATTATTAGCTTGTAAGAAGTCTCTTCGCTTGTACAGAACGTTTCGTACGTCGATTCGTCTTTTTGCTCTCATGCATCTTTTTAATACCACGATCAAACGAGAGAGGTGTTCATCAGTTTTGCGAAATCCTCTCTGTCGGCTTTAAAATCGATAATCGGAGGGCAGAGTTAATCGTTTACGGCTAAGAGTAGACTTAGACACTTGTAAACAATGTAACATATATTAACTGAAATAACAGTTTCGTTAAAGTGGGCCAATAACAATGATCAATATAGTCACGATTTTTTATCAGCCCAATTCTGCTTTTCTTTTTCTTTTTTTTGTTACGGAATTTCGTTATGTATGTATGTAGATGAATTTATTTAATAGCAATTTATGGATAATAAACAAGCAAATGGTGGATAAAGAAATCTATTCTGGGTTACGATTTTACTATTTCATTACGTTTCATTTTCTTAGGTCAACAATTGTAAAATCTATACGAAACCTTGGAGCTTTATTACGAAATTGCAATTCTGATTTTAGAAAATGAACTCGAAAGTCATATTTTTAAAATCATTCTTATTGAATATTTCACATGTAATGATAACATTCTATCCTTTATATATATTAAATTAATGAAAAATTCATATTGTGAGAAATTTGTTTTTTAACTCACTAGCAACTTAAAATATGTATATGTGCACTGTATATTCAGGGCCAAGAGGCGATGAAAAACGATAGGAAAAGCTGTATTCTTAAACTCGGCTCCACTGCCAAGAATTTTGCGTTCTAATAATGTTTACCGGATATTTACCGAATTAACGAGCGCGTAAAGTCAATCTCGCGAGATGATTGCAAGCTTTTGCACACATCTCGACTATTTCGAAACTCTCCCACGAGAGTTGGACGGAATTCGTCTCGGCGCATTGCAAATTTATCAATAATAACACCTGACACTATTTTAACGAGCCGGCCATTCATTGTTTCACTCGGCGTTACGACTTTTCATCCGATTCATAATTTATAATTTATATCTCATCTCCGTTCGCTAATGATACGCTGGTAAAAATGTATACATTTTTAGTGGACTATAAATTCATACTCTATAAATTTAGTGTAGAGTATCTGAATGACACTTTCAGTACACGTTTCAGGAATTTATTATAGTTTTTTGCCGGTGTCGTAAAAACGCTTGTATCCTGCATATTCCTTCTGTACATATATCTATATTTTCATTATCCTTTTTTTCATTGTCGGATTTTTCTTCTTCAATCTACGTTGCAGAATTTCTCATTTGCAAGTAGTCTTTCTGTATGAAATTCGTAATTCACGGTTTAATTTTTCAGGTCATGACGAAGTGCCACATTTTATACAACTTAACTTTCACACGATACATATTTGACATATTTAATATTCTATAGAAATTGATATCTGACAATTTTCTAAGAATTTCTTTGATATTTCGATGCCGAGAATCCGGATAACCGTTCACTTGGTATGATTCCTAAATTTCGTAAAAAAAAACTAACCGACGAACAAAATTCTTATAGTACCATTCACGATGGCTGATTAAACTATTATCTACAAACCATTAAATGGAATTAATATATAAAGCTATATAAGCTATTAAATAAATTGTGAAATAGATAAGAAATAGTAGATCGTATTCGGCAGCTTGTGCAATCAAGAGGCGCCGTTCCAAAATACGTGGTGTGCATCTTTGAGACAATTGAGACAATTTGAGATAATTGGAGAACGCGCAATCGGAAGCGACGAGGAGCTCTTCAGGATCGGCGACACCTCGAAGAAATAACCCGAGCTAAACTCGACGGGGAAAAATTATGTAGGAGATGATTTACGAGCCGTAACGAGCTGCTCGCTCTTCGGCCTCTTCTTCAGGGTCCCGCATCCGGATTTCGCATGCATAAGAAGATGCGTCACCTCTCGAAAGAACCGACAGGTATTTCGGGAGCGCAAGTACATCCCATACTGATTACGCCCCCGTCAAGCTAAGTTCTGAATATAACTTGCGCCCGTAGGAATTTCAATTTCACCCCCATTTTGCTCCAAATTGAACAATCCATCCTCGAGAGAACGATTGCAAATTGAATTTATTACAACGTTTTTAACACTATGTCGTAGAGAAGCTTTCATTAATGCATTTTTGTTCTCTACATGTCTCCTATTTTTTAATTTTCATTTTGTTTATCGTTTACTTAAATTTAATTCGAATTGCATAGTGCTTCTTGAGGCGACTATCGAGATAAGTTCTCGATATAACTTGCTTCAGTAAGAATTTCAATTTTACCCCCATTTTACCCCAAATTGGACACTCCATCCTGGAGAGAGCGATTACAAAATTAATTCAATATCTTAATGCATTATTAAGCTCAATTTAATTCCAATTAACAGGTAACCCGGACACTCCGCATAACCCATTGTACGTAAAAACTAGTTACCCCAAAATGTCCTGTAATCTAGAAACCAAAATTCGTAGAATTACAATTTACAGATAAATTTCATCCACTGTATAATCTACTATAAAGTAAAATGGACTTAACTGCATTGTACAGGTAAATTAAATACCCCTACAGCCCACTGTGTACCAAGTCGGATTTAATTTCAGTTTAAAGGTAAATTGGATACACTAGGTAATTGGATACGCTAAAACTGGTTTCCCGAAAATGTCCTGCAACTCAGGAACGAAAATTCGTGGAATCGCAATTTACAGGTGAATTTGGTCCACCGTGTAACCCACTGTAAACGAAAAGGAGTGGAGCCAAAATGTCCTGATGCCGGAGAACCGCGACTCGCGTGCTCTTAACGAGTCGTGTATTAAGACGCGGCTGTTTTTGGCACGAGCCTCTTTTCAAAATTTGGCACACCCCGTGCTCTCTTTCCAACGACAGCTATCGGAGGCGTCGTTCCGTTAATCGTCCGTGAGAAGACATTCGCATCTTTCCGGCGCAATGGCCGTGCAGAAGACATACATGCCGACATCTTGAAAATCTGAAGAAGTAGGCAAGAAATTAGCTATGCTTTTTTTTTACCCACCGACGTGAATAAATTTTCTAGTCGAGTTTAAAGGACACTTTTGCTACTCACACCGAAGAATTTAATCAGGATTTAACGATTTCACCGGTTGATAATATAGCCAGGACTCACAGCAGAAACCATCGCAAAATCATGACCGAATTCCTTTTAATTATTATAAACCGTGTTAGCATAATTTCAATGAACAAAATGAACGATCCGCAACATTTACTCATATTTTATCCAATATTCGTAAAGAAGCCACTGTAAAATCGCGACTGCACGTCCCACCGGGGACGCAGTGACACGGCTCCTTGACGCGACCATGGACGCGACGCGTTAGAAACGCGCACTTATAGCATATTTCATTTTTCGTCGCACTCTATTTTTGCACGTAAGCTTTCTAGCTGGTTATCCGGACCGCGGGTAAGCTTTATACCCCGCGGAAAAGCCTTCGGCTTTCAGGTGTCCACGGTACGTCGTGCGAAACGCCAACAACCACCCACCATAGTTCATCATGGTAAGACTCCCCGAACTCGAGTCTTCTTTCACGATTTTTCCTAAACTATCACAAGAAATTGTCCGAAATCATTATTCGCAATTATCTGGAAGCAAGTTGCATGGAATCAGTGGGAAATTGATAACGAATTGGATTTTTTCATCGCTACTTGCCGCGCTCAAGGAAACCAAGATGGCGGCCGTGCCTGTCACCTCGGCTGTTGTCGGGACGCTGAAAAATCTCATTATTTCTCGATATCAGTGCCGGAAAGTGTTGGGTATTCTGAGAAATGAATATTCCTGAATGTAAGAAACAATTTTCGGGACGTGAAGATTGCTTCGAAGAGAAAGACGTTCGATAAAAGAATGACTTTTCTTGGTTTTACTTACACGGCTGGAAGAGACAAGATGGCGGCCACTCCATCACCTGTGATAAAGTGATTAAAAATGATATAATTCGCGATTTCTGCACAGAAAAGTGCGGCAAATTTTGAAAGATAAAAGTTATCGGATGTATAGAAATACATTTGAGACAAGAAATCCAACGATTTTTTTTGTTGTGAAAGATGGCGATCAGGCTCGCCACGTGTAGTAGCAAAGTGTCAGATACTTTGAAAAGTAAATATTTGAACAGAGGAAATACTTTTTCTCAATACTAGAAACACATTTCCGACAGCTACTTGCATTAAATCAAGTTTTATTTAAACAGAATTTGCATAAATTGAAATTAAGATTTCTGATAAAGACCTTCATATATAATAATTTTAGCCAATTTCGTGTACCAATCTTGAAGATTAGCAGAAAACTGCATCGTTAGTGAACGTAAAAATAGAGGTGAATGATTAATTTTCCTTTTTACCGCCCTGCAGGAGGAAGACGAGCAGAAAATGGCGGTGATGCGAAAAGCCTTCCAGATGTTCGACACAACGAAGAGCGGCTTCATCGACACCCTAAAGATCTCAACTATCCTGAACACGATGGGTCAGCTCTTCGACGACGCCGACCTCAACTCCCTGATCGAAGAAAACGATCCCGAAAGAACCGGCAAAGTCAACTTCGACGGATTCTGCAAGATCGCCGGCCGCTTCCTTGAAGAAGAGGATGCCGAAGCCATGCAGGAAGAACTTAAGGAAGCTTTCAGGCTTTACGATCGCGAGGGAAACGGATATATCACCACCGCAACCCTGAAGGAGATCCTCGCCGCTCTCGATGATAAACTGACCAACTCTGATCTCGATGGAATCATCGCTGAAATTGATACCGACGGTTCTGGCACCGTAGACTTCGATGGTAATTTGCTTTCCTTTCCTAAATTAAAGATGATTTTAAAGAATTTATTTACATTTCTTATGTTGATTTTCATTTATAAGATAGGAGAACAACTTTGATCTTACCATTTCTAAAATCGATACTAATGATCTTGGTACCAGAGACTTTCATTGTAATTTGATTTTCTTCTAGAAATTTACTAGAATTACATTTTAATTATAATTTAACAATTTCCATTGCGAATATACGTGGATTTTATATTAATTTGCAGAGTTCATGGAGATGATGACCGGAGAATGAAGGACCTCGGGGAGTTTCGAGGACCAAGAAGATCGGAGGGGATCAGAGGCCATCTTCGGGGACCTTCTTCGAGGTCGAAGGTTATTCGAAGCCGAGGGTCCTTCCTGGTGTGACTTCGCGTCATCGGATCGTTACCATCGGCGACCTGAGACTATTAATAAAGTTATTACCTGGTGCTATTTTCAATGGCCGCCTCCTCGTTGGCGAGTTCTCTTCCTCCATCGGCCTCCCAAGTTTCAAATTCCTTCTGGAATCCTGAAACTTGAATTATTAGCATTTTCGAGAGAGACAAGGAAAAGACTAGTCCTGGATGATAGTCATGAGACTAAAACTTAAAAGAATATCAGCTGAATTAACAAAAACGAAGGACCTCTTGTCATTTGATTCCAATTCTCGGTACAATTAACTTGAATTAATTGCATTGGCAAGTTCGATTAAAACGTTGAAATTTTTGCATTTGAATGTTGAAAATCGCAAAATCTAGGGAATCCAAGGAACTAACTTAAAAGAGAGGAACCTTTGTTATTTGCCCTCAACTTTCAATGCAACTAATGGATACTAATTATTGCAATTAACTGCATTGACAAATTCGGCTAAGACGTTAAAACTTCAGGATTTAAATGTTGAGAATCGAAAATTTAGAATCGAATCAATTTATGGAATGAGAAACGTCAAAATCTGTAGTTTAAAATTGCAAAAAGCTGAAACTTAGAATCAAGAAATCCAGTTAAAAGAGCCATATCACCGTTTAATCCCAGCTCTTAATGCAACTAATAACTGCAGTCACTTGCATCGGCAATCCGGTGCATTAATTAATGAACTTGCTTCCTCCTTGACCATCCTCATCTCTTCATCGCATCCCAAAAATTCCTTCACCTTCCACCGCAGTAACCATAACTAAACATACACTAACCTAAAGATTCAAGGTACAAACAAGAAGAAGAAGTTGCGTATCAATACGCTTTATTCCTTGCGACGAAATCCAAAAATTAATTACAAAAAGCTCATTCGACCATCAATTAGCCTAAGTGAAGTGCGGGACCATCAGACCCATCCTAGATGGTCTGGCTGTCCTCGTGATAGACCTTGACGTCGATGACCTTGATGTTGGGAACCTGAAGAGCCCCAGGAGCGAGGGGCCTCTCGAGCGGGTATCCCAGGGGTTTTCCGTCGAAGGAAACGGCACCACCGATGATCTGGTCGATGGGTTTGCTGGCGAAGTACTGGCTGACGGACTTGACCTTCTGGCCTTGGACCTGGGTCTGAACCTGACCTTGACCCTGGAGGATGCTCTGGTACTTTCCGCTAACGTGCTGGCTGCCGGATCCGTACTGTCCCTGGACTCCCTGCTGGTGTCCTGGACCTCCCTGCTGGTATCCTGGACCTCCCTGCTGGTATCCTAGCCCCTGCTGGTATCCCTGACCCCGCTGGTATCCCTGACCTCCCTGCTGGTATCCCTGACCTCCCTGCTGGTATACTTGTCCACCCTGCTGGTATCCCTGACCCTGCTGGTATCCTTGACCCTGCTGGTATCCCTGGCCACCTTGCGAGCCCTGAACTCCGGACTGTGCGACACCCTCAACTCCGGCGACACCCTCGACTCCAGCGACCTGACCTTCAACCTGGCTTCCGTGCCAATGCTGCTGCTGCTGCCAGTGCTGATGGTGCTGGCCGGACTGGTACTGTTGCTGCCAGTGCTGGCTGTAATGCTGATGGGTGTAGGGGTAGTGACCGAGATGGGGCTGGTACAGGCTGCTCTGGCTGACCTGGCTGTCGACTCCTAGAAGAAGATCAAAGGCTTTAGCCGTGTAATACACAAACCCTGAAAAGGAACCGGGGCGGCTCTCGACTCTTCATATTCTCGGTATTCAGGAACCTCATGACGTTGTTATGTAGAAATTAACGTTTAGAATTATGTCAGGAAGTCTTTAGCGAGAGAGAAGGGACGAGGTCGCCGAAGACCTACCCTGTCCTTGGTGGATGCCTTCGTGGTAGACCTGAACGGTTTCGTATACGCCACCGACGGACTTGATCATGCCGTGGCCGTACTGCTGGTACTGCTCGGGGTGGACGATCTGGTACTGGGAAGGAGAGTAGGTCTGCAAGTCCTGGGGGATCACTGGGCCGTACTGGACGTTCTCGCCGGTGGTGGGTCCGGAGATCACGACTAGGAGCTGAAGTGGGTAACCGTGGTTCTGTCCCTTGGGCAGGGCGAGCCTGGCGGGGAAGCCGTAGATCTGTTCAGGCTGAAAGGGTGAATTTGTCGTCAGTGGTTATCTTTGACTCTTCGGCTTCTTCTTCCTAGGTCATCTAGGACCTACCTGGGCGATGTAGAACGGATGCTGCGAGCGGATGGCGTCCTGGATTTTCTGGAGGAGATGGTGTACCGATGGGTGGTCCTGGCTCTGGCCTGGGGCCTGGTTGGAGTTCCTGACGATGACGTTCTGGCCTTCCTGGACTGCGAATCAAGAATCAAAGGATTAACCCAGTTGGCTCCTCGATACATGAAATTGCTCAGGATCGAAGCCCAGTTAATCGAATTCCAGGTGACGAGAACCCTGTCAGAACTTACGGTCAGTCACAAACTGGTCCAACTCGACGAAGAGGAGCCTGTTCTCGGAGATGGAGATGGGAAGTCCATCGTAGCCGTATTTCGGTCCAAGGTAGACACGGACAACTGCGTTCTGGACACCCTGGTCGCTCTGGGCAATGATCTGGTATTCGTAGGGCTTGTGGTTGATCCTCTGGTACTGAGCCTTGATCTGGGAGGACTGCTGCTGCTGGCCCACGGGCATGGGGGTGGCGCCGTCCAAGTCAACGTTGAATCCATCGAAGTAAGTCACGAAGTTGTCGACATCGACCTTAATAATCTTGACTCCGGGGAGGAGGAGGTCGTCGAACTGGTAGGCTGGGAGACCCTCCTGGTACTGGGCGAAGAGGTTGATGACTTTCTTGTAGAGCTGGTAGAAGGCAGGGTCACGGACTGCGGTCTGGCCAAGTTCCAGGGCGGACGGGGTGTACTGCCAGATGTTGGCGGCTTCAGGGGCTCCTCCAAGGAGCTGGCGAGCAGCACCTTGGTAGCTTCCGTAGTACCTAACATAACAAAAGTCTATGTTATTTCCCTGGACTCTGGTTTAAACACTGACACGTTCCCATTTTTAGCTTAGAATCTGGCACCTGGGGTTCACGCTCTTTCCGGTGCCTTCGATCAGTTCTCCAAGGATGTTCAAGCCCTGGGGCTGGTACAGGGAAAGGAAAGCAGCCTGGGGAGTGATAACGTTGCCGGAGTCAATTGCGTCCTTCAGTCTCTGCTCCAAGCGGGAGACGTAGTCGATGAGGTCGTCGCTCTCAGGGCTCAGTGGCAGGTGCTCGGGGCGTCCAGGGAATTCCAGACCGTTCTGGTAACGAAGGTTGGGCTTGAAGGGGGCATCCACCTGGTTGTAGTCAATGTCATCGATGGGACCCAATCCGTTGCTCAAACGCTCCAAGTTGTAGTGAGCCAAGAGCTGCTGGTGCCAGTAGTAGTAGTAGGATCCGTGGCCGATGTTCTGTCCAGACTGAGAACCCTGGGTGTAAACGCCTTCGGTTTGCTGTCCCTGTTCACCCTGGAGACCGGTAAAGTCATTAATTCTGTATCGTTCAACCTTAACCTAACCTAGAAAAAAATCCTTGTTCCTACTCTTCCTCGAAGACCATGAATTCTTCACTCACCTCTCCGTACATCCATCCAGTGAGCTGAACGTAAGCATAGTAGGCCGCTAGACCGGGGTCCTGGGTGAAGTAAGCAAGCTGGTGCTCTCCCTGGGGCAAGTAGGCGGTGTGGTTCACGGGGATGACGACGACGTGCTCGGTTAAGGGGCTCTGGATTCCGTGGACCCTAATGTCCTGGGCTTGCTGGATGATCGTCGAGTCAACGTAGTACTGGGGGAAGATCTCGTAAGGAGCCGGCAGGATGATTCCCTGGGTGTCCTGGCGCTGGAGGATGGCTGTAGTCAGGGCCTGCAAAGTTAACCAAACTTTCCTTTATCCTCTGCTTCCAGCTAAAAACCTGCACGTTAACTCCTCGTTCCTTTGAATCTCACTTGAACAGTTCAAAGAGAGGTAAGAAGTGTCATCAATGAAGCTGGACACCACAAAAGACAAATTTCTTAGCTTCTAAAGCGACGCTTCTTTTCAATATGAATGATACTTAAATAATTAAACAGCAAATGGGAATTTTGATTTTTAGAAAAGGCAGGAGGAGATCGGAGGACCTTGACGAACTGTCCCTCGTTGACGTGGATGCGAGCCCAGGCGGCAGTCTTGTAGAAGGTGGAGTAGTCCTTGGCTCCGAGGAGGATCTGGGTGAGGAGGGCCACTTCCTTGCGAAGCTGGCTGATCGAGGTGGAGAAAGTCGTGCCCTTGGGCTGAACGGCTCCCTGGACGACGGCGTTGGCGTAGTACTTGACGACCGTGGGGTTCTCGTACTGGTCGGCGTTAGCCTGGATGTCGTAATGCCGGCCAAGTTTCTGCAGCTGTTCGTTGGGAATGTCATATGCCATGTGCTGGTACAGGTGGATTATATCCTGCTGCTTGGTCAGGAACTCCTTGTCGGCTGGAAAACGACATGATACTCTCACAAATTGTCCTTGAAACTCTACCTTTCTCTATTTCCCCAAATTAAGGTGTTTGCTTTCCGGGAATCCCCAAACTAAACTCACGTCCACTCTCCTCATCATTCAACTGCATACAAAGAAACTAATGCATTTTGCAAGACTAACATTCAAACATGTAGAAGGAACTCGCAACTCGCGGAAAATCTCGTTTTATCAGCCCAAATATTGGGAAGAAAATATGGATTTTAAATAATGCGCGCCGAGATGTGGCGCCATCTCTGCGCGCGTATTGGAAACTAGTATCGAAGCTATCTAACGGACAGTAGATGAAACTTTCCACCGAAACACATATTGGTAAGTTAACGATATTCTTAACCAAACTATCGACTGAAAGCAAAGATTGTAGTTATGTCATCTACCGGTAGATAGACAAAACTTGTAGTTAAACCACCCTAGAGGGATTTCAGTAAGTGTTGGAAATCGGGAAATCCCATAGCGGGAAAATAAACGTCTTCCGCAGGGAAGGTGTCACGATGTATACTCACCAGCTTGCTGCTTCCATGGCTGGGGCACGGCGGCCGCCAACGCCACAAGGGCTACGAGGATCAGGCTTCGGTACATTGTGATACAATGAGGTGTATGCCTTCTGTCGACTGGGCCCGGCTTTTTTATACGGTCAAGCTATCGGTAAGAACGCTCCTATTATCAGCGACCCGGCCGACCCTCCACCACCCTCGATACCGGGCCTCCCTTCTTTCAGACTCTCTTTCGAGATATTCCACCAGCTATTTCTAATCCACCAAAATGTGCAGGTCGAAGGTCGACACTCAATGGAGCCATCCTTGGAGTAGGGACGAAGTGCTGCTTGTCTTCGGAAAGCGTAACTTTGCAACTTTTCTACAGTCTTCGACTCGATACGAAAGCCACCACTGCAAGTGGGAATTTGGTAATTCTTTGGTATAACTTTAGTTCTAAAGTACTCTCTCCGAGACTTAGAGTAGTTTTTAACTAGGAACTTCTTTGATAAACCGAGGGCAATAATTGTAAAGTATCATTCCTCATTCTGTGTCCTTTGTAGAGATACGTTCATTGAGAACGTTCTTTGGTAATCGGATATAGTTAATTTTAAAAGAGTTCTTTCTTTAAGTTTTGCAGAGGAAGTTCTTTGGAGGTTAATCAATTGCATTCTGAAGTACCTATTTTCTTTTTTCATTTAAATATTTCAACTTTAATTGTAAGGTAGCAGGTATTCGTCATTAGTGTTTCGGTGTAATGAATTTTTTTATGAATTTATGTAGTAACTATACGGTAATTAACCATGCAGTGTATTCGATAACTACACCTTCTTGCATTTACATTTGCATCAAATATAAACGTTTCAAAATCTGTTAATATATTGTCTAAGAACTGAAAGTTAAGAGGTACTACAAAAAACTGCTTCATTTGCAGATTCACGTTCTTCACGATTTTCTTTATTTCGGTTAACATCAAGAAATATTAAACTACGGTATCTTTAAATAATTACAAAACATTCATCGTATTGAATTTAACTCACATTAAACTTCTCACGTAATTATAATCTTGTTCCCATACTTGTAAAGGAACAATTATTTTAATCAACTTGTTATTCAATATGTTAACACACGTCTACCATAATATCTGTTACGAAGATACACGTTTCCAAATTTAAAGGCCGAAGACATTCACATGTCAAGTTGCACAACTCTCGCGTTACGATTCCGCGACTTACATGTAGTCGTATCTTCGCCTGCGAAAACAGCGCTATTTTGCAAAGCAATTAATATTTTATTTCCATTCGATATTACTCATTCTTGTTATTCAACATGTTACCACATATATTAGCGTAATATCATTTATGAAGACATCTGCTCTAAAATTGAAATATTGAAAACATTCTCATATCCAGAATTGCACAATTTTCTTTACAAGATGCTGCGAAGCATACATACTCGTTTGTATTTGCAAGAATAGTGATATTTTATTATTTTATTTGCACTATTTTAATCATAAAATAATTTTTATTATCCAATACATTACGGTAATATCTGTTAAATGTTGAAAAAACATTCTCATATCCAGGATTGCATAACTTGCTTGACACGGTTATGCAAAACATTCGTTATTTGCATTTTGGAGAATAGTAATATTTTATTAAGTAATTTTTATTTGGTATTAGTCACTTTTGTTATTGAATATGTCACCGTTATAACTTTCATGAATATATTCATTTCGAAGTTCAAATACTGAAGATTGAATCTCGATTCTGAAAAGTATTGTATATACATTAAGCAACGTCACTTTGCAAAAAGAGAGAGAAAAAAAATAAAATTAAAATGAAATTTCAATCGACAAGGATCATTTTAAACAATTCGATTCGACTGCTTTTATCGAAAAATGTACAGATTAGAAAAATTGTAATCTTAGGTCGCGGCAAGAAACTTCTCAAATTTCGCAATAGCCAATATTTATAACACTTAAAAAAAAGTAGTAATTAATTCAAAAGCTACAAAATACGACATTTTCAATGGGAGAATGAATTTCGAATTTACACCTCGCCATTGTGGTTTTTGCAATGAATTTTTATTCTATAATTTTCTCCCTAATAATAGTTACTTCTTTTAGTTATCTATTATAGCGTTCTTTAACTAATTAGTATTGTGGAATCAGTAACGATGTAATACCAGTACTAATCGAGAGTATATTGTATTAATATAGTTAATAATAATTTATTACAGTTTGTATTTTTCATTGTTTGAACAAAATTTGATAAGTAAGGATGCAAAGTGGTAAATAATTGTAACGAATTGCAATCGATTAGAACGATTAGTAGTTGGTCATCTGTAATACTTTAATGAACCTAATTCAAAGGAATTCGGATAATCAGCTTACGAAATTGATACGACCCGGCTTGGATGTTAATTTTGGCATTACCATAATCATGCAATTTTGTCTGGAAACATTTATCTGAGCTGCAAAGATAGAAGTGAATTAATCGTCTCAGGTCACAGAATTGCGAAACCAGAGCGGATTTAGTGGAATCACAAATCTTCCAAATCCGGTTGAAAAATGAAACTTACAAAATTACTAAACTCATGATTAATTTACGTAACAAGGAACCGAGGTTTTGCACTCTTTCTTATACTAAAAAAAAAATTAAGGAAGAGATAACCAATAAGAATGCAACTTTAAACATTTTTTAACTTTTATCTCTTTTTAGGAACAGATATGTAGAGAAGAAATAGTCATTTTGGATCGCAGATTTATGAAAATTTGCAAAATTGGGGAAGTCGCAAATCGTAGAATGATTGAGGAGAGAACTACATTTTTAAGTAACATTTATTGCTTTGATAAGACAAATTAACGGACTAAGATGGTATTGTTGCTGATGTGAGAAGCTGTGAATTGATTCAGAGATGCTCCGTGGATTTCCTAAACAAATCTCAAAAGAATCCTCATTTGTACGTAAAAGTAAAGGAATTACTTAAAACGGCGAAAATGTCAAGTGGTTAAAAAAAGGAATGAAAAACTAAAATTGCAGTTACTTGGAATTAAATATGAAAGCGATATATCTATAATGTACCCTTACTAAAATGAGGAAAATGGAAAATGATACCAAGGAAAAACTTCTTATCTGTACACTTTATACGTGGGTGTAAGGTAATCATCCCGAATTACGGAATTTCGAGTACTTATGAGTTTGATAACATTGTAGATCTTTGAAATTCCAGGGCGAAAAGGAATTAACTCAGTCGTTATCATATCAATAATGAAGACATATTAACAATTTTGCACTTTCCTTTATTAAATCCTCTTGGAATTTTATGGAAAATCTGTAACTTATTTTATTATCTGTCCATAGAAATGATGATCGCAGGTCGCGGAATTGCGAAATCTCACGGATTTGGCGAAAGTGTAACCTACTGGAGGCGAAGTCCCTTGCAGGAGGTTATCAGGGCTTCTGCAACGGGTCCATTGATAGCGCTTATTACCCGCTTCTCACAGGTGATTGCAGCGAGGGGTTATCGTCTCGTTCTGCGCCTTAATTTGATGGCCGTTTATTTTTGCCACCGGCGAAGGGGCTTATCGAGAGGCTGTCGTCAATGAGAGCAATTCGCGGGGGGTAGCCAGGCGAGGAGTCGAGGGTGATTCATTGCGCGATTTATCGAGGAATAATTATAGTCATAATTAAAGTGGTCATTCTTTCGAATCGCTCCGCGGTTAACGTTAATGCGCCCTGATTGCGTGACGCTACTAATTGTTATTTCCATTTTCACAGGATCCTTGGCTGCAAAGAGTCTTCATTGATTAGATTGAGGTGTCGCTGTGTAAATGCCCGCGGATCTGGAAAATTGAACGGTAATGTTAAGGCCATTATTCATTTTTATATCTGAATTTAATGTCGGACAGATTTGTCTCTTTCACTTAAGATATAATTAAGTGCGAGTAAGTAAGATTAAGTAAGATATAGTTAAGTGTCAGAACCTTCCTTAAAGCTTTCATGTTCACGAGGTAAAATTTCAAACGATTTCATACACCCTGTTTGGAGAAAAGTTTCATAAACGAGACCCCTCAGATAGCCCTTTTACATCACCTTAATTAAATTAAAGCGGCAATATATGAATAGAAATATGGAAAATTCATTTGCAACATCAAGGTTGCCATTCTTTTCTTTACTTGGATTATTTGGTTAAGAGGGATATTTCAGTTTTCTTCATTAAAGCTACTCATTGATCATGTGCTACGTAAATGAAATCGTATTTAAAAATTATTTTTACTTTCGTAGAACCTTAAACTGTTGTCAATTAGATTGTGGTTCAACTGTTGTTAAATGACTTAGCTGTACATAAACTAAAGAATTGAAAATATTTGTTTTTAAATCAAGGCAATTGATATTTGTAGCTATTAGTCTGTTCTATATCTTAAATTATGGGGTTCAGGGGTCAATTTGTTTCCTTCGCTTGAGATATCTATTAATTATGTGTTACACGTATTAAATCGTATTATTAATTGTTATTTCTATTTTTGCTCGGGAGCTTTAAACCGTTGTTTATTAAAACGTGAAATCTAGAATGCTGAACATTAATGTCTGTTATAACTCTTTGTTGTATCTTTGACTTTAATCTTAAGAGGCCCATTTGTCTCATTCACTGCGATTATTCATTATTTATGTATTACGTTAATTGCACAATCTTATTAATTGTTATTTCTGTTTCCATAGATGAAGCCTGAGCTGTGTCGATATGAGAAATCCGGAGAATTAAAAGGTAACGTCAATTATTTATATTATTCTGTTTTACATACAATTTACTCCTCCACTGATTATTAATTTCTTATGTACTATATAATTAAAATTTAATGCTACTAATTATGAATTTAATTTCCACTGGCAGGTCTATGTATCATGCCAATGATGAATAAACTAATATATTACATGAAACTTTTTCATGCGTTTCAAAGATTTAACAATAGATTTCGCTAAATTTCAAACAGCATTCTAATATTCCATATGTGCACCATGAAACCACAAATGATGGGATTACAATTTTAATATTAGAGCCATTCATAATCCTACATATTATAATATGAACATTCTCAAAATAAAAAGTTTCGTTGTCATTCCTAAATTACCGATAAATGATACATAAGAATGGTTTTGAAAGTCCAGTAATGCATAAATTATTGCCTAGATAGTTTCTACGATTCTCTTGAAACTGATAGAGACATAAGTTTCTCTAGTCATACAATGAATAATTAATAAACTAAATTAAACCCTCAATCATTAGCGCGCTATCGTATAAAGCTTTCTATACGCTCCATGTCCATCATCGAAGCAAGGCCTAACAATTCCTCCAGATACCACGCGAAGCAGAAAATCACAGGAGGTCTATTCCCCATGCAAAAAGCGCCGCCGCCAGATGCACGAACTTTGAATATCTCGCCAAAGTCGATAGAGAAGAAAGTCCTCGCCACCAATTGACCGCGCACCGATTCAAACTCGACCAATAGTAGCCCAGTACGGAGTTCAAATTCCATTCCGCTCAACCAATGAGATGGCCGGATTCGACAAGATGGCGGCTTCCAACATGGTGGCGCCCGAGTCTCAACTTGCGCGGCGAATGCACTCGCAGCGTTCCCGTGTTCACCCATCCCCGTTTCCCATACCTTGGCCCGTAAAATCGCTCGCATCTGCTCATCTTCAGATCCGCCGCTATCATCTGCTATCACTGCACGTATCTGCACGCGACTCGTGAAGACAGAAGCGAAGAAAAAGAGGTTAAGACTGTGTTCGGTGCGGATTTACTTGACGAAGGAGTGCAGAAGACCCGGTCTCTTCGGTGAGCCGGCGTAAGATTCGATGCGGCAGCGCGCCAAGTATCGCCGAAGCCTCAGGTACGCGATTTCGCTTCCCCGAGGAGGATTGGAGGATTTGTCGGGCATCATCCCGCCGAGAGTCGTCTTCGGGAAGTCCTGCGCACGAGAGAGCTCCGCCGCGCGCCGCGTGCCTATACACGCGTGCGCGAGTAGCACTCTCGAGCGGTCATAACCTTGAAACGGGGCCATCCTGGGAGCGCGACTCGGAGGGCTCCTGAGCGAAGAAGCGGTGTCGCGGCATCCCTGAGAGACGCTCAGGCGGTCCCGGGTACCAGGACGCGAGAAATGCTGGCTAACAACGAGTGAGTTCGACGGCCACCAGGAAGCGCCGACGAGAAGGGCCCCGGCTACAGCGGGAAGAATCGCGGAGAGGTTAGCTGCGCCCTGAGAAGGATGCCTTACTGTGGGGGCTCGACTTGGCTCTGAGCAATGGTTGTCACCGGAAGCATGGTCCATCGGCCCGTCGCCCCCAAACGCAGTGTCAGGATCCTCCTGGTCGGCGACCGTGGCGTTGGCAAAACTTCTCTGATCCTGTCCCTGGTCAGCGAGGAGTACGCGGAAGATGTGCCCAGCAAGGCTGAGGAAATCACCATCCCTGCTGATGTTACGCCGGAACAGGTGCCAACGCATATCGTCGATTACTCAGGTAATGACGATGCTGATTTGGAATGAAATATCGAGAGAAAGGGTAGATGGAGCTCTGATCGTTGGTTTGTTTAGCTGCGGAGCAAACGGATGATCAACTTGCCGAGGAAATCCAGAAAGCGCATGTGATTTGTGTCGTGTATTCGGTGGAGGATGAAGACACGCTCGACAGAGCGGCAAGCTATTGGATGCCGCTTATTAGGAAGTGCTCCAGTAATAATCGGTGCCCTGTGGTGCTTGTGGGGAATAAGATCGATCTCGTTGATTATTCTACGATTGAGGTTAGTTGCAAATCAGATAGAATTTTGGTGTTTTGGGAGTAGTTATTAAAAACTGTTTTTTTCTAATTTTAGGCAGTCTACCCAATAATGAAAGAGTTTTCGGAGATTGAAAGTTGTATCGAGGTAAAACTAAGGCTTTCACTTTTGTTATATGTTCTGCTACTTGATCTGTTCATTATTTAAGGCAAATCTTGTTACAGTGTTCCGCAAAAACGTTGCAAAACATTTCGGAGATGTTTTACTACGCACAAAAAGCTGTCTTGCATCCCACGACGCCGCTTTACAATTACGATACCCAAGAGGTATGTCATTTATTACATGAACATTTTTTAAACAATTGTTCAGCCTTGTGAATTGATAATTATATATTGTTAACATTTCAGCTCACAGACGAATGCAAAACTGCACTTCAGAGAATATTCAAAGTGAGTTTATTGAATAATTGCTGTTATGATAAATATCCTCCAAATATTTTCTCACGATTTCTATTTTCCATAGATATGTGACCTTGACAATGATGGTCTATTAAATGATATGGAGTTAAATGCTTTTCAACAATGGTGCTTCAATACTCCTTTACAACCTCAGGTTCTGGAGGATGTCAAGGCGGTTCTTTCAAAAAACATTCAGGATGGCATTTGCAATGGTTGTGTTACAATGAAAGGTCCGTAATGTCTATCTGCACTCAGGGATGACGAGGCACAATGATACCAATTACTTTAAATGTCACTATTTACAGGTTTTATGTATCTTCAGTGTTTGTTCATACAGCGAGGACGTAATGAGACTACATGGGCTGTCCTAAGAAAGTTTGGGTACGACAATGAATTGCAGATGTCGAAGGAATACATCCATCCTCCGTAAGTGCTTAATTTGTAATATCAGATTTGTTTCTAAGTATTTGACTGCAATTAAAAACGTGTAATAAAGTTTGAAGGTACCGCTGGGTTGTACAACAGAGCTGTCCCACAAGGGACAAGAGTTTGTAACGTTGCTGTTCATGCAGCATGACAGGGATCGGGATGGAGCATTGTCTCCATCAGAGCTGGAAGCGTTATTCTCTCGGTGTTTGACGCCACCATGGGGTGATGAGTACAAATACACCGTGCCTACAAACGAGAAGGTACAATACAAAATACACCCTCCTTCATTTTAAAATTCTCCACCTAGATTGAAAAATAAATTGTTTATAAACAAATTTAAAAAAAAATGAAATTTCGTAGTGGTCTAAACCGTCCTTAGATCCTTCATACATAGGTGGTACAATTTTAAACGATTCGATACACCCTGTCCAAAAAACATTTTTATTAATAATACCCTTCAGACGCCACTTTAATATCACCTTAATTAATATGATTTTTTTTTGTTTCGTGGTATGCCTGATATAAAAAAAACGATTCGTACATATTTTAAAATAATGAACATGAACCTCTTTACCAAAAAAAGGGGGAAAAAAAGAAAATAATAAACACTTGCTCCCAGAAATAAAAACCTTTAAATTGTCAACTTAACTCCTACAGGGGTGGATTACGTTCCAAGGCTACATGTGTCAGTGGGCCCTCCTTACCCTGACTAACGTACGCAAAACCCTGGAGTACATGGCGTATCTCGGTTACAACATGTACAACAACGAGTGCCAGACCTGCGCGATTACCGTGACACGAGAGAAGAAGCTAGACCTAGCGAAGAAGCAATCGAGCAGGAACGTCTATACTTGTCACGTAATCGGCCCGAAGAGCAGCGGAAAAACGACATTGTGCAGGACCTTCGTCGACCCCAAACTCGAGGTAGACCTTGTAATATGAAAAAGTGACCCTTAACGTAATTTATCCGCCAGAAGACCTTGCTCATGGTCCAACTTGTAGAAACTGACCGACAAGTCGGTGCCACCGGACTGTCGAGTCACCGTCAACACCGTGCACGTCTACGGTCAGGAGAAAATGATTGTGCTCCGGGACATAAACGTGATGAACGTTCAAGATGCCTTAACCCCGGCCCAGATCCAGTGCGACGCTGCGGCCCTCGTCTATGACACTAGCAACCCCAAGTCCTTTGAATACATTGCACGGATATTCATTGTTCGTATTGAAATTACACATACATACGTTGTTACTTATCTATTAGTACATTACACACGTTACTTTTGCACCCGTGTTAAGCGTCGTCCAATTGCCGTTTTACGCTGCTGTGATCGGTAAAACCGGAATAAAATAGCATTTACATGACACTTAAGGTGATATGAAAGCAACATCCAAGGAGTCTCATTCGTGAAACTTGATGCATCGAATGGTTTAAAATCTCACTATATAAATATAAAAGTTCTAAGAAAGGTCTTGACACTCATATAATTTCAATTGTTTTGTATTTGTTCATAGACTTTTTTAAGTGTTTAATAATTTAAAGTACCACTTTGACATCACCTTAATACCAGTAGTTATGACACCGGTGTAAGGTAACACGTGTAAATATACTATATGGTACATTAGTCTACAAGTGAGCCTGTGTGAATTTAATGCTTCGTCTTGCAGAAGTATTTTGCCGATAGCAAGATACCGGTGCTCGTCGTAGCGAACAAGAGTGATCTGACCGAGGCGAAGCAGGAGTACCTTCTTCAGCCTGTGAGTTTCTGCAGCAAATACAAACTCATGCCGCCTCAACCTTACAGTATATCTCGGACGGTGCGCCGAGAGATCTTCGTCAAATTAGCGACCATGGCTGCTTTCCCGTAAGTACTCTCAATGATATCCTTACAAACCCACCACGAAGTAGCATAACGAAGTCCCACTTCCATGTTAAGGTAAACCCACATTTCGTTACCAAGTTAATCAACGGTAACACTAGCGACTCATGCGGGAAAATCCGGCTCTTTTAAATTTTCACAAATGGACGTTGTAACGTTAGGACTAAATGTTAAATAAAAACTTTTTTTTTTAATCCAGATTTTGAAAGTATCAGGGCATTCTTTAGGTGCTCACAGGTCATATGTCAAAATTTCAGACAATTCAGTGCAAGAATCTTAAAAAAGAAATGTTTGAATCAGCTGGTTCGACACAAGATTTACTTCACCTTAAACGTCACCATATTGAATAATCAGATAACAGCACCTTTCCGGCAAGATCACTAGTGTTAATGCTAGCTGAATTCTGACGTCGAATTCATCGCTGCTGATGATCGGGGCCAGAATTTTCAGGGATGACCCACAACATGAGAGCTCCTTACGTTACTTCGTGAAACCCACTTACGATCTTCTATCAGAGGTCAGCCAGTAAACTATCGCTCTCAATCGACCCTAGTTCGCTTTACAAAAACAGCTACACTCTAAATTTCCCGTTAATTGCTGGCATAAACAGCCCGCGGGGCTTAAATCGTTCGTTAAAGTGGTGTCGCGTCGCCCTTAGAGCAAAAGACCGGACATAACCTAATTTATGCAGAAGCGAACCAGGTACCTCTAGACACTAACGAAGAGCTATTTCGTGTTTAGCCGCTTTCAAGCAGCGTGGGTATTGTTTTACAAGCACAGGTTCGTAGAACAAACTTTCTCACTGTATATATTAAAAGAAACACTTAGAGTTTAAGCTGTCAAGCCGCGTTTCTCATTTGACTCGTGACAAGGCCGGAGCGGTTGCACAATCATTTAGGCTCTCGGTGTGCATAAACCAATAGATTTTCATTCGCCTCCTCTTAGAACCTTGTGCAGTGGCGAGACTTTTTCATAATATTCGGATTCTCTTGGATCTTTTCAGTCCTTTGAGGCGTATGGTCCACATGTTACTTGTCGAACCATCATCCACTGAGTGGTGGGACTCGCTCGCAAGGTTCCTTTTCGCCTATTTTCTCTCTCTTTACATTCCTGCGTTCTTCTAACCGCTTGCCAAGGTTTCTACATCCCCTTTTCTCGCCTATAAATTGATCCTGTGCTTTCATGTGCATGAGCATGAGCTGGTGTACCTTCGAGAAGGATAGCTTCGCTCGGTCTCTCGGAGACCGTTGCCCTCATCGGTAGACAATTGTTATTCTCGACAACGATCTGCGGAATCCTCCGAGCAAGGCTGAATTGTGTTGATCAAATTGACAGAATACGTTAACTACGATGAAAGAATGTTTAATAGGAGTAAAACTGTTACATGAAATCGAGTATCGAGCCACGATGCAAGGCTGCGGAAAGTTAAAGCGATATGAAAGCGACGTCTGAGAGGTCTCATTTATGAAACTTTTCCCCAAACTGGATGCACCTCTTCGTTTGATATTTTCTCTCATTTTATTATGAATATGGAGGCCCTACAGAAGGTCTTGACACCCATGAAATTCCATTTTTTGTAACAAAATTAATTGTTTATAGAAAAAATTGTTTAAAAATGAAATTTCAGGGCCTCTATAAAATTTCAAATGGTACGCCCAGTTAAGAAAAAACTTTTATAAATAAGTTTATGTCTCAAAAACCACTTTCGTATCACATCTAAAACATAAGAACGAAAGATACTTTGCACTGTATCTTTATAAGCAGTCTAATTGATTAAAAATTACCATTGCAGACAGCCCTGCTCTCTCATGCCTGCCCCTTGTTCAGTCTGCAGTGGATTTTGTGAGCCTGGACTACTTTGACGTTCGACAAAGCTAGTCCTGACAGCATTCATTTTAACCTAATTCTTCACTTTGGTGCTATCTCATTTACTCGATTAATATACAAAATCAAGGCTTTCTCGGACGGCAGAAAGATTCCTTAGGTTTAACATGTCTCAGCCCTCAGTGTCGAATGTCAATAGATCTTTTCTTCCTCCCTATTATACATAAAAGGAAAGACATTGAAGCAATCATTTTCTTTGGGTGCTTTTTTTTTTTTGTTTTTGTAGATTTCACTCCAGTGAATTAAGGTGAAGTGAAACTCGTCGAGAAACTTGATCGACGTCGGTGGAAAAAGGTTTTTCTAAATACCTTCGTTGCCGACGTTCATTTTAACATAGGAGCGCATAAGACACTTTTTTTGCCTTTATCCCGTTCAAATGCGAGTTTCTCGATTACCATTACACTTTAAAAAAAGTGTCTTATTCGAGTCGACTGATTTATGGGGGGGTTTCACTTCATCTTAAGTATGCAGGAATAAAGGAGCTTTGACTTTCGATCTCAATAGCAGTAGGGCTGGTTTATCTTGAAGTGTTTCTCCGTTTTAAGGCACATGAAGCAGTTCGGTCTGATCCAGGGCGACTCTGTAGTTTGGTGGAAAGCTGGACTGGGCATCGCAGCTGCCACCGTTGCTGGGTTCGTGGTGATGCGTGTTCTAAACACCGACAAGAGATAGTCTAGCGTCCCCAACGCGTCCCTCGTCTCCCTTGTGCCCTTCGTCGATGAAGAATATCTACCTTGTAAGCTCGCGTTAAGTTAATAAACTCTGTTCAGAAACCGCTCGTGTCGGCCTCCGGGGAGAGACCCGAGGGTCCATCAGTCTGTCAAATGATTGTAAATTGAACGTTTGATTGGCTGCGGATACACGACTACTATTTAAATAGGACAACGGATGAGTTAGTACACACGGTGCATTTACTTTCTTTAATCTCGCGTCGAAAGAGCGTCGAGAGGTGACATAACCTCCGTAACCTCCGATCACTGTGGATTGACAGGTCATAGGAAATGATTATATTTGATATTCAGGGAGCGAAAGGAACTCCGATGGAACACAGTTGATTTCCTCGTATAGAAGCGACCGTGTCGTGTTGGGTAGTTGGATATAGGTGTTAGCAGGAAAGGTAGAAGAAATAAATATTTGACAGCTGGGATCGCAGCCGATTCAGTCTTGCCTAGGTTATGTCGAAACACTGTTCCTTGAGAGATCATTCTACTTTATAACTCCGAAAAGAAAAATCAAACATTTATTTATGTCATATTTCGAAGGTTCAGTATTCAATATGTGTGAAGCAAGAATTGCAGATTAGCTGTACACTTCTTTTTTTTTACAATTTTTCACTATTTAAATCTTGAAACTTTTACCATTTAAATCTTTGCTTTTTCGCTAATAATTTCTACATATAGTACAGGTAAAATCTTACAAAGTTAGGTACCAATCGATCTGAAATTTTTAGCTTAGTCTATGCACGCATAACTATTGTCTGAACCAAAATCAGGATTTTTTATTTCCGATGAGCTGGCTAGGGAATTCACCTGTGCCTCTTTTTTTGAGGAGTCATTTATGCTATAAAAAACAACGTATTTTTTTGTTAAATCATTAATAAACTTTGAATTATTTATGATCAGTTTAACAAACGCCAAAAAGATTTACTTCATTGTATGATCTATTTACTGATCAATAATAAGCAATAATCGTCAAAAGCAGCTTGATTTTTCGACTGTCGAAGTAGAATGACCTGTTAAGCCGCGAGGAAGGTCATGGATTCAAGGACTGTTCATTTTGGCATGCCAGCCAGACTTGGTGGAGGGCTTTGCAGGAGTCGAGGTCTTCACTGCGAAAGGCACACTCGAAGAAATGACGTATCTCCGAAGTACAGACCCCTTCGACGGTGTTGGAACTCTCCAACGGAGGCATTGCAGCAGTGGAGTGGCCATGGTTGGTTGCGTGAGTCAGTGCATTTCCTATTACGTGGCCCTGGAAAGAGTGGAATAGAAATTTTCTCCTTATTGTCATACCAGATCCCTGCGAACCCCAAGTTGTCTCACCGCTGCAGAGCCAACTGCCACCCCAGCTGCTGTACCGACTGCATTTTGTAGCAGCGAAGATTTGGCTCCTGTGTCCTTTTGTGTTCCAGAGGCTGGATGCAGTGACTGTGCTGCAGTCTTGGTCGGTGGCTGCTGAGCTTTGGGACGAGCTCTCGTACTGAATCTGAGAAAAGATAACAGTAGCGGAAGGAATCTTCTCGTTTGTCGCGAGTGCTATGCTGAGTGAAAGAAAATGTTATTTGAAGAGACCGTCATTGGTTTATTTATGTTACATTTAATTGTTTTAAAGAATTACAGGCTTTTGCGAAATGTTCTATGATACTACTTCTAGGCGAAGGCTTCTACGATAGGCTGGGTGTTGTCGCAATCATCATGCATCTGAAAATATGCAGTCAGTTAGGACACTACAAGCACGTTGTGAAATGTTTAATGTACCAATGAAACCAGGTCGGCAATATTGAATATTGATATCAAAGACAAAGAAGTCCCATACAACTACTAATCAGTGTTCTACGAAGCGAATGGTATTTGTCAGTGAAGAACATTACATAAAGAAACTAGGTATTCACGAAATGTGTTAATCGATCAGTTTATGACGGATTGTGCACTATTACTCTGAAATTTGGTCTGTTCACGAGGGTAGGATCCCAAGGTGATAATTCAACAATTAACCCAATATCAACGCAAACATGGTCCGGCTGACCCCTTTTACATATCCACTGATTATTATGGCATCCACATTTCGACGAAAACGTGAAAAATGTTGCCAAATACTGACTGGTATATCACGTGGTTTCTTCGTCTGTGACGTCAAATTCAAGATGGCCGACTTGACTTTTCTGGACCCTTGAAATGTTATGACGGTTACTATATTTCCGTTTGCAATCTAAAAGCTCCTTTCTGAGCTGTTCGCAAACTTGTACATCGGATTGGTTCTGTGCACAGTTCAGGAACTGTTGTTGTTGAGGTTGACAGGGTCCGATTCCTTCTGGAGTTATTGAATCCTGGGCAGGTGCTGTATCCTCCGATCTGCCAGTTATTTTGTCTCCAATAACAGTCCCCTATCGATATCAAAGATGCATAATTGTTTACTGATAAGATAACAAAGATCTATAGTATCTTACCGCAGCAGCACCCACTGCGCTTCCCACGACTGTTCCAAACATCCCAGGACCTTGACGGGGCTGTACGATCACTACATTTGTGCTGCTGCAACAAGCCATCGAACGCACTTCAAGCTTATCTGACTTAATAGATTCAATCATCCTCTGGTCAATACGAAGTGAAATGAAGGAACTGAATCTCATGGCTTAAGTAATGAATAAGATGGACTCAGAAAATCGGTGTAACAACTAATTTTTCTTTATTTCCATCTACATGTAACACATTTTCATCATCATGTCTTACAACGGTACAATGTATACATCCCTATAAAATAAAATAATACCGGAATAAGCATCTTCTACCTTGGCTTCAGGTGCAGCACAAATAATTTTTCCTCCAGGGATCTACCATGAGTTTACATATCTGAAAAGGAAGAAAGAAGAATACTAAGTTTACACTGATTCTGACCTACGAACTTAAGTCGTAAATACAAATTCAGCCAAGATTACTAACGGTTAGCAGTTTTGCACTGGCGTAGAGCCTCGTTGAAGCCCTCGCATAGAGTGAGATCAGACTGGTTCTGAGCACACTCAAGGAACTGCTTGATCTCCCAGGAGCAAGCTCCTCCCTGCTGTGCCGGAGCTCCAGGGTACTGCTGAGCAGCAGGAGCCGCTGCAGGAGCAGCAGCTGCTGCTGGCTCTCCAGAACCACCGAAGAGCCCTGTGAGACCGTGACCGATGGTATGTCCTACAGCAGATCCAATGGCGACTCCTCCAGCAGTTGCAGCCATCTGTCCCATAAGGGATGGCTGCTGCGGCTGAGCCATCATCGGCACGGATGACGGAGCAGCTGCATGTGCAGGAGGATGTGCCACCGGTGCAGCTGATCGGGCTGGAACACTCGCCATTGGCCTAACCCTACAAGGTATAATGAAAATTAATACAAACATTACACACATTTCATTAATTTATAAGTACTAATATATATCTACATAGGGAATGTTTTTTATAAAGTTTCTAGAGAACTCAACGATGAGCTCGACAATTGGGGACGTGTGCACATCAAGAGCACGTGCTGCCGAGTAACGCATCGGATAGACATTTAAACCCTTCTAATGCAATCCTATTTAATATTAAGTAAAATTGACGTCAAAGGTCAATGTCGATGCGGGATATAATTAGACGCTTTCCCGGCGAAAAGTTCTAGACCTTGTGACGTAACTACGATGCTACTCGCGGATTAAAAAAATACCGCATTCGCGAAACGACCGATTTCTTCCTTTCTTCTTGGGCATTGGAAGAATAGAGAAATTTAATTAGAAGAACTTACGTTCGTGGCGGCGGAGCTGATGCACGTCCTCTTCGTGGCATGATTTTCTTTATTTGTCGAGTGACTTGCTCTTCCGTAAAACACGTTCACTCTCTCAAAATATCTCTGGGCGACTGATCCTGACCGATTTTTCGACGAACCTCGTTATGCAAGTTTCTTGGTGGGGCGGAAACACGTATTGACCGTATTGACGAGCATAAGTTTCTAGAATGCCGCTCGTCGCGCCACCGGAACAAGTGAACGTTAATATATATGTATATGCTGCCGCATTTTTCACCTAGATGGAAGATGAGTACATTTACACATGCTACCTTATGCTAGTTTTATAACTACTGGTATGAAGTATCGTGTAAACGCCGTTTTATTCGAAACCAGAGGGCAGCACAGGATGTGATCGTGCGACCTTGCCCGTGAGCAATCACCCAACTCATCTCTGACTTGTATTTCCCTTTCTCGTGTGCCTACCAGTTGTACCATCTGAGTATACATATTCGAAGCTTGAAACTCAACAACGACGAGTGCTGCCATCTCGTCAAATACAGCGCGTCGAGCGGAATTTCATGGAACTAATTCGATTGTCGGCGCCAAGAACGCCGGCTACAATCTCAGGGTTGCAACAAAGTGAAATTTAAATGATAAACTTTCGCCCTCGTTATTTAGTTTCTCGTGCTGCCAGGGCCGTGATTCGGTATGCCAATTCGATAGTTATCGATATCGTCAGCCCACTGGAGTAACACGACTATCGATGTCGATAGCTATCAAATGAGGTGTACAGAATTTCGCTACATAAAGTATTGCTGCCGATAAAGGAATACACTCCCCGTAACCGATCCAACATCGCCGTTGTTATTCGATACCCGACTATCAATTGTTTTTCTGCGGCAGCCTTTTATCGTACTTTGTGACGTAAATCGGAATTCAAAAATTTCAACGTCGAACGGTATTAACCGTTTTCGTTTCAGGGCCTATGTGACCTACGTAAGACCGTGACCTCAATTGACCAACGACGACCCAAGAGCTCAGCATCCGACCTCTTTCGCAACCCTTCTTTCGCAGTTTACGTTGTGAATAAATCACGCGAAAAAAAAAAGAGGAGACCATGATAAAGTGAGAAAGGGAAGTCGACTAAGAAAAAGTTCCAGTGGAGTCTAAAACAATGGAGTAACTTGTAGCGGCTTAACGTATAAGTAGTTTACACGCGTAAGTTACTCCGTGTATACGAGGAGAGGTAGGAAATGACATGTCTCATGACTCTCTAGACTGATTTATAATTTGCAGAATGACTTGTTTAGACATACATTACGAAAGTATAAGAAAGTCGATAAGTATAAGGACGGTTAGAAAGTTAAAGAAGAAATATAAAGATAGTTGAAACGGAAGCATGTGACATGTAGAGCGTGAGCTTTTTTAACGCCTAAAACTTGCATAAGTCAGTCGAGGAATAGATTTACCATTACTATTTATTCATTACTCTGTGTTCTCTTTGTCAATGCAATCTAACCATGACAGTCTTTCGTATTTTTAGATGGTTAGTATTAGGCCGAGGAATAAGTTCCCGCCGTTTTTAACATAACGTAACGTAATTAAAACGGCGGGAACTTATCCTCAACTTAATAGTAAATCGGCTGAGTCTCTTTATAAACTCTACATACAACACGTATCATTTCCGACAGAGTTTGCAGATATTTAAAGAAGACTCTCGGTCACCGATCCAAGAACTGACCGTGCCTAACGATGCTTAACTTGAGGTCGGATCATCTTTTTTTAGCTATATTAAGTACAAACACAAATTGGACCCATGCATCCATCATTATAATTCCTCGCATTTGGACAAATCCTTTTTTATCGTTTCAGGAAAAGAGAACCCGCGTTTACAAGTCCGAAGGAGTCTCCCTGATATCCAGTCCCACCCCATGGGGGGAGTTGGTTTCCTTTTTCTCTTTTTTATATCGTCCCACGAATACATTTAACTATCAATTAGCAATTCATATTCATCGAATAAGTCCCCCTTTTCATTTGGAACGTTTGAACAGAGAACCACTTAAGAAAGTGAAAGAGAGACCTGGGTGATGCGGTCACCCATCCAAGTACTGACCGCGGTCAATGACGCTTAACCTCGGAGACGTCACGTCCGCGAGAGAGATTCCCGATCTCGAATCGAGCTCCCATTACATCTCGCATATCAAATTCACTCTTTTGTCCACGAGTTATCAATTTTACTTACGCGACGTATCGCGCATAAACAAAGCGACCTCTGCAAAGACCCTCACGTAGCTCTTCGAAGAAATAACGCTAAAAATAGCCGACTGAGAAGATGAAACCTCAAATAAAACCTCGAGGTGGTCCAGGAACCCCTTCGAGGTCGGATGCTGGGGAGGCAAGGAACCTGAAACCGTTACGGGAACATGGGGACCTCCTTAAGGGATGTGAAACTGGCATCCGAAAGCTCAATCGTTCATAAAACTTTTCCACGAACTGGGTGTCTTAAATCGTTTCATAGTTTAAAACGTGAATATGAAGACTCTAAGGTAGGTCCTGAAACTCGCGAAATTTTATTCCTTATAAATTATTTTTAAAATACCTGTAAACAAATTTGAAAGGAATTGAAATTTCATGAGTTTCAGGACCTACCTTAGGGTCTTCATATTCACGTTTTAAAGTATGAAATGAAGGCGCGATAATGATATACTCTCTTAATAGAATCCGCGCGTCCACAGGAAGGGTTAAGGACCGTTCCACGGCGGCGAGCGCGGCTATTTCCGAAAGCCTTAAAAAAAGAAGTCCCGGAAGCCTGGAGGGCCGCGCCAAGACGCCTCGAAAACGCCAATTAAGCGGCCGTTGGGACGGAGACAAAGAGCCGAGGCGCGAAGTATTTCGGATCCGTGACAAAGAAGTCGACGAACAACTAACGGGGAGTTCGTTTCTATAGGCTTACACCCCCGCGGAATCGCCACGACTCGGAAGAAAGTGATAACTTGCGACCAGAGATCAACAGTGGTCAAAAAGGAGGAGAGGTGAAATGCCGAGAAGCGTAAACGTATCGTAGTAAAATATTGGAAATTTCAAAGGAAAAAAAAAGAAAAAGAAAGAACATGAAAATCGCGCCAAAACTCGACGCCGATTAAACATTCGTCGGAAAGAAAATGAAGACAAAGACAGAACAGGGGACCCTCGATTTAGGTAACTTATCAAAAGTTCAGAATACCGAGTAAAGATCTTGGGATCTTGCAATCATACATTTTATCTAATTTAATTTACCCTCGATTGTCACCCGCTGGCGTCTTCGAGGGCTAAGAAGCGCTAATTGATAAAAAATGCTGATATTAGGTAACTTATGACAAATTTTAAATATCGAGAAAAGATTTTGGGCAATTTATTAATTTAACTTACCCTCGATTTTGACCCGCTGGCGTCTTCGAGGGCTGCGTCGGAGATCGAGATGGAGCTCGAGACGGAGACGCGGAACTTTTTCGACTGGACCCACTTCCTTTGGAACTTTTTCGGTTGGACATCTCGTCTGGCTACAGAGTGATCTTACTCGGTCAGAATTTTGGGAACGAAATTTAATTATTCTACGCGATTTATCACTTGAGATATTCCGATTAACCGTCAAATTTTGGACCGAGATGTCGAAAGTTGGACCGGGGTAAGGCGAGTATCGACTGTCACGAAAAGTGGAATCGAGTTATCGTGGAGGCTTGCTTTAAGTCCAAAAACCAGCTTTTGTAGACTCTCCGTACATGCAGCGAAAGAATTAGGTTCATTAAATATATATACATACATATAAAACGTCAAAATATTGATAAAACTTATCTCCAAACTGGGTGCACCGAATCATTTGAAATCTTAACACGTGATTATGGAGGCCCTAAGTAAGAACACGATGCTCGTGAAATTTCATGAAAAAAGTGAAAACAATTTTTTGTTTATAAATGAAACTTCACGAGCATTACGTTTTTCCTTAGGGCCTCCATAATCACGTGTTTAAGTTTCAAATTAATCGGTGTACCCAGTTTGGAGATAAGTATAATAAATATTTTGACATTCTGATATATAGAATGACCCTTTTATATCACCTTAAGGAGTCTTTAGGCCAGTTTTTCCCTTGTCAGAAAAATGCTCAAGGGTCAGAGGGATCTGTAAAATATCCACTGGCTACACCGATCACTTCTCAAGTCCAAGAGAAGTCCTTGAAACTGCGTTGAGCATGAGCGCTTCCATCCTGAGTTTCTGTTCGGCAGGAAATTAAAGTGCCCAGGGCCGAAAGGGACAACCTTGTGCGACTGAAATTTCAAGAAACATTAAAGACCTTCCCACAAAATGTTTCGCTAGAATGGTGTGACTCCCACGAAGGCACAAAGAGTTTTTGAAAAACCATCAACTGTTTGAACGAGGAGTCATCGAGCGAAGGCTGATGTGAAAAATTGTTACAGATGGTCCTATGTAAAATTCTATTTGCATGTTGTAGCAGATACAAAAGCAATATGACTCTTTTTGAGATCAATTGCGAGTTCTTCGAGGAAGAGTCATCGAGCGATTGACAAATTATAAATTATTGAAGATGGACCGACATGAAGTTCTATCTCGGTATCTCAGCTACCACAAAGGCAAAATGTCTCTTTTTGAGACCTTCTGCGAGTTCATCGAGGAAAAATCATTGAGCGATTGACAATTTAAAAATTATTGAAGATGGACTGACATGAAGTTCCATCTCGGTATCTCAGCTACCACAAAGGCAAAATGTCTCTTTTTGAGACCTTCTACGAGTTCTTCCAGACTGACAAGTTATAAATTATTAAAGATGGACCGACATGAAGTTCCATCTCGGTATCTCAGCCACCACAAAGGCAAAATGTCTCTTTTTGAGACCTGCGAGGTCTTCGAGGAAGAACCAAGGAACGAAGGCCAAGAACCGACCGTGAAGTTCTTGAGGTCGCGTCGTCCGTCCGAGGGGCGAATTCTAAATCGGCGGCCTCTCTTCTCTCTGGGGTTTACCGATTCGGGATTGGACTCGAGACGAAGGCACTTCCGCGAGGTAGAACGACTCGAAACGAGGCCTTCTCGGTGCTCGAATGACTTCCGCTGTGGTACGCGAGGTCGTGAGTTCCGGCCTTCGGCCCGTCAGGAGCAACTTTGCGCTGGGAACTAGCTCCTCTTTGTTTCTAAAGTCGTAGTGATAATAAAAATTAGAAGATTATAATACGTTTTCAATCCGTATTTAATTAAGGGTTGAACATGTTAAATATATCTCGATGAGCAATGTGTATGTAAAGAATTATCGAAACGCACGAGGCCGAAAATGTTGGCCTTCGGGTCTGGTAGAGCAACTTAGCACTCGAAACGTGGCTTTTCTTTATTCCTAAAGTCGTAGTGATTATACAAATTAGTAGATTGTAAAGCATGTTCAATTCGTTTTAAACGATGGATTGTCCATGTTAAATGTATCTCATTGGGCAACGTGTATGTAAAAAATTATCGAATCTTGCGAGGCCGCGAATATTGGCTTTCGAGTCTGATAGAGCAACCTTGCACGAGGAGCACGGTTTCCTTTTGTTACTAAAGCAGTCATGATAAGTAAAATTAGTATATTATATCGTGCGCGTTTAACATGTTTACAGCAGATGCTTGTATATTTGAAAAAACAACTTGTGAAGAACATGGACTTCCGCGAACTCTGGCTTTCGACTCTGGTAAAACAACTTTGCGAGGGAACTGTGGTTTTCGTTGATTTTTAAAACAGCGATAAAAAAGTTAAATAAGTACACTATATTGCGTGTTAAGTTTATCCTTAAACGAAGAATCTTAGATCCTAATTATGGAGTGATTCAAAATTGCACAAAACCGAACAAATTATGGCAGATATGGTAGAACCAAGAATACATATTTGTTTTGATGAATGAAATTTCATGAACACCACGTTCATCCTTAGGGCCTAGACGCTGAAGTTTCTAACGATTCGGTGTATTCAGTTTGGAGAATAGTTTTATAAATATTTTCACATTTTATATGTATATAGAATGACCCTTTACACGTTACCTTAAGCGCTCTTGCACGGAACCGTGGCCTTTCTTTGTTCCTTATGCAGGAAGGATAATTAAAAATAGTTATATATCTTTTCAACAAATGACTGCATATCTTAATAATGCAGAACAACGTGCATGTACAGAATTATCGACTTCCACGAGGTCGCGAGCCCTGGCCTTCGATTCTGATCCCGCGACCTCGCGAGGCGTCCATGGTTTTTCTCTTTTCTTCGTTAGGCGGTAACAATAACATTAGTAGGTCACCTAGTACGCGTTAAATTTGTTCAAAGCGCACGATTGCGAATGTTAAATGTATTTTACGGGAAACAGCGTGTACGCAAGGAATATGAACTTCCGCGAGTTGCGGCCTTCGGCGTTGGTCGCGTGGCCTTGTTCCCTGATCGTGGTTTTTCTTCGTTCTTATCACTGTATCACCACGTAACATTAGGTTACATTGCGCACGTGTGGTTTTTCATCGTTTCATCCAGTTTTCAGAGAACCCGTTTTTCGAGAAGACGTGTTATAAATAATGGAAAGATTATTGCAAGATTTTTCTTCGCTCTTATCACAGCATCACTGCGTAACCTTGTATTGCGCCGACTGATTTGAAAGGGGTTTCACTTCACCTTAATCATATTAACAAGACCATTTTGTATGTCCGAGCTTCAACGCTTGGACTGCAAATTTTTAAAAGGTCATAACGAGCGCAGACCGAAATCGTCTTCAAATGTCGAGTCATCGACATCGCCCGACATCGTGGATTCGTAAACGAAGCGATCGCCGCAACAACTGTTTACCCTCCGTAACCGATAACAACCATGCCCGCGCGGGTCCGCGACAATAATTAAACACTAAACGGTAAATACTACGTACGGAATAATAAACACGAAATGTGAAATACTCCCGAGTGCGTCGCTCGAACACGACGAACGTGACTCTCGGTTCAGTTTACGCGCGTCGCCGTGATAGCGCACGCCCGCATCTCCGTTCGTCTCACTTGCTCTCCGGCGCACTGTCGTCGTGTCTCTCTCGCTCACCCTTCTCGCGCCCTCGCTTCGTCTCTCGCGCTCCTGTTATATCTCGCCCTCGACGCGTCTCCCTCTTTCTCGTTCTTCCTACTCGCGTTCTCCCTGTCTCTCTTGCTCTCGTTATAACTCGCCCACGTCGCATCTCTCTCGCACAAATGCACCCTTACTGCTTTTCTCCCGCTCTACGGTGCGTTTTAATTACGTCTCTCTCGCTCTTGTTATAATTCACCTTCATTGCGTCTTTCTCGCTCGCGTGATAACTCGCTTTTAACATATATCTGTCGTTTTCAATATATCCGCCCTTGATATATCTCTCTCGTTTTCAATATCCGCGTTTCCGTCGCTTCTTTCTCGCTCTACACATACTCTCTTTGCGTCTCCCTCGATCTCCTTACTTGCGCCCCCGCGACGTCTCTCTCGCTCTCGTTATACTTCGCCCTCCCTGTGTCTCCGTCGCTCCCACTATACTCTCCCTCGATGTGCCTCTCTCGCTCTCGCGATAACTCACCCTTGAGGTATTCCTCGATCTCGCTACCCGCATCTTGCCGCGTTTTCCCGCTCCGAGGCGCCCTCTTCGCTTCTCACTCGCTCGCCCTACTCGCGCCCTCGCTCCATCTCCCTCGCTCTTACTATAACTTTCCCTCGCTGCATCTCTCTCGCTCTTACTATATCTCCGCTCGCTCGCACTCTCTTCCTCTCTCGGACGCAGGTCCTCTCTCTCGTCCTCCCGCATTCGCTGCGTCTTTCTCCTCAACGGCCAGTCGTCGGACGCGAGCCAAGAGGGAGAGAGAGAACGATCTAGGAAGAGCGAGACGCTCAAAGACGGAGAAAGGGGGAGAAAGAGAGAGAGAGAGCGCGACGCTCGCCAGTCGCGTTCGCGCGACAGAGACAAAGACGACGGCGCAGCGCCGCGCGTCGCCTCGGCCGGGGCCAGTCGCGACCGCGCGAGCGCGTCGATCGGTCAGTCTGCCAGTTCACGACCTAACCTCTCCCGGGTCGAGCCGCGTATCCACGAGTTACCGCCGACCCAGAGCGGCGAGTGCCGATCGGGCCGGGAGCACGCGGCTCTCTAGAGCGTCGACTCGAAGGCGAGTACCAATGCGCGGCCCCGCGCCCCCGCGTGCCCCAAGGTGCCCGAGGCGCCGCAGCGGCCGGTCGCGCTTGGCCCGCCGGCGAGCGGCCTCTGCCCTCTCGCTCCCGCTCCCGCCCGGGCGCTCTGCGCCCTCTCTCTCGCTCCCTCGGCGCTCCACAGCCCCGAGCGAGAGGCCCGACCTGCCGGACAAGGGCAAGGACTGACCCAGCCGCGACCCAGGTATGTGCGCGCGCACCACGTGGACTTGCCTTCGATGCATAGAACTTGTTGACATAAACATGTAAGATGTAACGCAGGGGGAGGTTAGATAAAAAGAGATCCTTCGTCTCCGGATTCTTCCAGAAGTTCTTTTACCACCTTCCTAAATGTAGGACATATCGTATCATTTTTTGTATACCTCAAAATGGACAAATTTCCGATTAAAAATGAAAAAGAAATTTCGCGTGGTTTTACCGCTATTGTTATCGCTTCATGCAGAAAAAGAATTCACATTCATAACGAAAAATTCGACTTGCTTCGACAAATATGTGAACAGTTGGAGATGGACCAGCAAATGTTTAATCCAAAAATATATTGTTATATTGAAAACAAAAAAGG